GCCTACAATCAGCACGCCACCGACTATGCCTTCCTAGCGGGGTTCCCCCGTTGGACAAGATGAATCTACAAACCCACAGCGTCGTCCTCGGACCCCTGATGGGCCAGTCTGGCTACGGGTCCTCAGTGAAGAGAGAGAGACCGCATGATGCGGTCCGCATCCCTGAACTCCCGGAATCGGGAGCCCGTGGCGTCATACATGACAGGGTTGGTGCGAGCATCCGTTCCCCCTCCAGGCAGCGGCTGCGCGCCGGCTGCGGCGACCGCGAGAGGAGGAACCGCACCTGCCGGCGCGCCCCCCCCACCCCCAAGGCCTCCCGCCTCGGCGGCAGGAGCGGCTCCTCCAAGAGCACCTCCTCCAGCTGCCGCGGCTGGAGGCGGGCCCAGTGCAGCAGCGAGACGCGCCAGGCCCCCTCCAGGAGCCGGCGCTGGCCCGGCCGCGGCGGCTCCACCCGCCGCGGCGGGCACTAACGCGGCGGGAAGCGCTGCTGCCGGCGCAGCTCCAGCGACGAGGGCCCCGGGACCCGGACCAGGGACACCATCGACCCCACCAGGGGCCGCCCCCGGAGCAGCTCCCGCAGGAGCAGCGGCTGGAAGTCCGGCAGCCCCGCCCCCCCCCGCGTCTGGCGGACCTCCCGCGGCGGCAGGAGGTCCACCCAGCAGAGGACGCACGTTGCCGGCAGGCGGGGCCAGGCCCATGCGACGATAACCAGCAGCACGAGCCGAGGTCAGCTGAGCAACCGTGGGGATCGCCCTGAACCGGTAGTACGCAGCATTCGGGCCGGCCTGAGGCACCACACCGTTCGGACCAGCAATAGCACACCAATCGAGAACGTCAGCACCAATGATGAGGTCCTCCTCGTACTCGTCCAGATCGGGCGTCACGCTTGTCACGCCAACGAGATAGTTAGGGGGCGTGCCACAGCAGATACGGGTGTGCCACAACTCACGACCGCCGACGTTGTACCTCATGGCGAAAAACTCCCCCTCACAAAGCCCGAGGGGGTGGGCGACTGCGGCTGGTGCCGCCATCACTGATGAAGGGCTGGCAGCACCCGCTTGCGGATCAACGCCTGCCGACGGCGGGCAAGCTCGGCAATGTCCTCCTCCTCGGACTGTGCTGCGGCCTCAGGTGCTGGAACAGGTACGGAAACCACTGGCGCCGCCGGCGCCCGACGCCGGCAACCGAGGAGCCCGCCTCTCGCGAGCTGGTGTCCGGCGACCAAGCCAGTGAGCAAGGTGGCCAGTACCAAGCCCGTCTGCTCCACGGGGTTCGCCCTCTCATGGAAGACCTCCTTGAACTGCGTCGGCTCCACGGCCGGGCAGTCACAGTGCACCACAGGCTGGCACACGGGGCAGGGCGGCGGAGTCTGTGCCCAGAGCAGGAGGCTGTTCGATATCCCCCGAGCAACCTCTGGGATCACAACTCTGACAGACTGCATAGGCTGGGCCTGCTTGAGCCTTGAGGATTACGGAACGATGTTCCTGCGGCCAGCTGCGACACTACTTGGCTTAAAGTGGTGAACGCATCCATATATATATATATGTATATATAAACGCATCCATATATATATATATATATATATATATATATATATATATATATATATATATATATATATATGCAAACACCCCTGAAGGCAGAGGGGCAGAACGGGAATCTTCGATTTTGAAATAATTATTCTGGATCGCCGCAACTGCGGCTTTGTTGTCCCGCTGGGCCTCCAGAGGCCGAAACTGATGAGAAAAACCTCGCCGATCCTTCCTCGAACCCGTCCCCCTCCTCCTTCTCCTCCACCTCTTCCCCCCCTGGGCACAGCGTGGCGACGGACAAGAGCCATCGGCGCATCTTGCAACAGCCCTCTCCACCTTCTCCTCCTCCTCCTCCTCCTCCTCCTCCTCCTCCTCCTCCTGTTCCTCCCTGCACTCTTCTGGCCACAAATCCGCATCGTTCAAAGCAGTCCCCGGGGACTGCTTTGAACGTTGCCATTCTTCAAAGCAGTCCCCGGGGACTGCTTTCAATCGTCCTCGATCGTCCTCATTATAAGGGTTTCTGGATTAACCGCCCACGATATGAGATGAGCGACAGGCGTCGGACGCGATGCACTTGCTTCTTCTGTTGTGGGAGGGCGGGTGGGAATGGACGGAGCCCTCTGGCTCGTTCGAACTGGCTAACTTGACCACCCCCCTGGGCCTGGAACGGGCGCCCCGCGATGGGCTAGAGCGTCCAGGATGGCCCAAGATGGCCTCGGAGGGCCTCTGAAAGCGCAAGGTGGCCTTGCAGATGACTCAAGACACCTCAAGGTGGTCAAAATAGCCTCCGACTCGCATCTGAGAAGCCTGGAGACAACCCCAAGATGGTTCCAAGTGCCTTTCGAGCCCTCCAAGGTGACAGCCCCCAAGATGGCTCCAAGAGGCCGAGGATCAATGTGTGCGGTCTTCTCGCGCTTTCGCGTCCGATGGGCTCTTGAAGTCTCAAGATGGCCCCAAAATGGCCCAAGAGAGCTCCAAGAGTATCTCAAAAAAGTTCCAAGACAGTCCCAATAGCGCCTCAAGGGCGCCCCAAGAGGGCCTCAAGACGCCATGTTCGAGCCTCCTAGAAGGGGGGGGGGGCTGAATTTCCCCCCCCCCCCCCTCTTTGGAAGCCATGGGGGCCTAGAAACACCCAAAGAGGCTCTGGGAGGACCCCAAGCGAGCCCAAAACGGCTCCAAGAGACCTCCGAGACAACGCTTCCGAGGCGGTTGCTGCACCGCACGCACTTTTCTACAGGTCCCTGATCAAAGCAACTCGCCTGGCGATCTTCTTCTGGATGGACTGGTCGGTATACTTTTCCGTCGCAGCCGCAAGCGAAGGCGCAGGCGGCGTCAGAGGTCAATCCGGGCTACGGGGGCGCCGGGGGCTGAAGGCACGCTGCGGAAGCTGCCAGGACAGCCAGGCGGCCAGCGTGGACTGGTCGGTATACGTTTTATCGGTAGCCGCAGGCGAGACCGCCAGCGGCGAGTCAGGGTCCGGGCGGGGCGCGCGAGGGCCGAATCAACCAGGAGCAAGCCTAACACTGCCACTCAGAACGGGACCAAAAGGAAGCCGAAGAGGGAAGCGGGTTGCTGCACTGCCAGGGGTTGCGCGCAAGCAGCAAGCTGCAGAGAAGGCTGACTGCCAGGGAGGCCGACTGCCAAAGTCTGCAAACTGCTGGTGAATTGGAAGCAAAGAGTAAGCGTCTGGTCGGTATACTGTTTTGATTCGCGGCCCGCAAAGAAAAGTCCAGAGGGCGGTAAGAACGAGGCTGGGACACAGCGCGCGGGAAGGCAGATAATTAACGGTGCAGCACAAGTGCCGGCCAAGAAGCAGCTGAGCATGTGCCAGCAGCAGAACATTTACAACGCTGAACATGTGCCAGCGAGGAATGCACTGAGAAAACCAGCCGCTGAGCGTGTGCCAGCGAGGACTGGTCGGTATACGCGGAGCGTCAAGAATTTCCCCTTCATGGGCCTCTACAAGAATTAAACTTTCATTACACTGCGGGAGATACCCCATTGAAAGACGACCATCCGAGAATCCTCAGCCGCGCTGGAACACTATGCTTGGGACTTCGACGCCGCGAATCAACGCGTCTGTTGCGTCCTGACGCTCCCGCATCGTGCCAGAACGCCAATCCAGGACGCACAGCGAATCCTTGTGGCTCTTGCGTCCTTACAATCCTAAGTCGCCCCAGTACACAATCACGGGGCTTCGACTCCCCGAAACATTGAAACTGCTGCAATTGCTTGAGACGAACGCGCGCGGCGATTAGGCGAAAGCCACATTGTGGAATAGAGCGAACCGCCCTGAATGCCCGAAACTGTTGCAAAAGGTTTGGTAAAATGCGCGCGACGCCGACGCGCGACCTACATGATGAACAAGATCCGCCTTCCATCCCTGAAGCTTCAGTGCACTTTTAAAACTGATGCACGCGGCGAAAAGGCGAGAGACATACTGTGGAAAGGACTCGCCCTCCATCCTTGCCACTGCTGCAAGGTTTTGAACAATGTTCGCGGCGCTTCGGCGACGGCTGCATTTTAAGAAGGATCCGTCCTCCATCTTCGAAACTACTGTAAATATCAAGCTTCAAGATCATAAATAGTGAGGGCGTCGAGCGAAACGCCGGGCCTGCACTGCCGCAACGTCTGGGGGAGGAGTTATGAACACTGAGGAAAGGGGATTCACATTCGACGATGCGGTGCGCGCGGGTTCCACCTCATATCAACCTATTCTCGGAAGCGAGCCTGGGGTGGAAGTGAGAAGCGGCGCGCCTTCTCAGAGGACTCCGAAGCCCCCCAGCCTTCTGAAAAGTTGCTAAGCCTTCCCCAGTGGCGCAGAAGACGTCTCAGAAGGCGCCAGGGCTCCTGAGAAGCCCCGCCGCCCTCTGACAAAGCCATCCCCTTCTCTCTCGCCCCCTCTCCCGCCGCCGAATCTGGGGAAGCCCGGAGCCAGTCCTCCCCCCCCCGACTTCCGGGAACGCCTCTCCGCCCCCACCCCCGTCCCAAACCCCTTTCGCATCTCCTCCCCAGCCCCCCTCCCCCCCTCTCCCTCCGCCCCCCCCTCCTCCCCTGCTTGCACGCCCGCCTCAGCGCCCCCGTCTGCCCCCCGCCTCCTCCTTCTCCTCCTTTTCCTCCTTCTCCTCCTCCTCCTCCTCCTCCTCCTCCTCCTCCTCCTCCTCCTCCTCCTCCTCCTCCTCCTCCTCCTCCTCCCCCTCCCCCTCCTCCTCCCCCCCCTCCTCCCCCCCTGCCCCCGTCTCCCTACACGCAAGAATGACCCTGGGTAAGAGTGGCCTTTGGCGCGCGGCTTTTTGGGGGACCGCGGGGGGGGGTCAAACGCCAGCGCGGACGACGCCACTGCCGCCTCGCGTTCGGCGCTCGGAAGGCCCCCTTGGGCCTGCACCAGAGGTCACTCCGGCAAAAGGTCACTTTCAGGTGTAGTCGAAAAACGCCCAAGAAGAGCACACGTTCCATGCCGCCCGCGTCCTCGTGCTGCCACCGGTCCCGCGCGCGGATGTAGGACAGGGACGCCGTGGTGCCGAGCACGATCGTCCAGCCCTTGCCCCCGAGGGCAAACCTCGCACTGCCACCGAGGGGAGATCGGCGCGGCCACCCGTCCTCCTCCTCTTCCTGTTCCTGTTCCCTGTCCTTTTCCTTGTCCTTCTCCATTCCGTCGCCCCAAAGTCGCGCAGCGATTTCGACTCTGAGGGCACTGGAATTTGAGCAGCGCGCTGACTCCGCTCGTTAGGGGGCCACATGCGAACCCTATCCCTACCCCCCACGATTTCTGAGGGGGAGGGTGGGGTTCACTTCGTTCGGGAGCTCCCGCGCGAAGTGAACTCCACCCTCCCCCTCAGAAGTCGTGGGCGATAGGGGTAGGCTTCGCATGTGGCCCTCTACGACTCGTGCTGCCCTGGGGGGGTTCCTCCTGCTGGTGCCAAGCTCGCGGCATCGAGCGCTCCCTCTTGGGAGCAGAGGGGCTCAGGCTTCGCCAGGCTCTCTCCAGGCTCCAGGGCGATCGAGGGGATCGTCTCTCACGCCCTCCTCGGGCGGGCGGCGCTCGTCGGTCGTCGGTCCGTCGGTCGTCCATCGCCTGCCTGTCTCTCCATGGGCGCTAGAAGCGACGAAGCAATTCTTGTTGCCGCTTCCGCTCTGCCGTGCTTCTGCCGATTCCAGCGCCGTTGCTTCTCCGGCTCCGTCGCCGCTTGCTGCCGGTGCCGCGTGTGGCTCCAACTCCGGAGCCGTTTCCCTGCCGTTTTTCCAAACCATCCTGTGGTGTTGGGTCCTCGTTTTGAATAGACGTTGGCCCGCGTTCCTCCTCTCCTCACCTCCTCCTCCCCCTCCTCCTCCTCCTCCTCCTCCTCCCTCCTCCTCCTCCTCCCCCCCCCTCCCTCCTCCTCCTCCTCCTCCTCCTCCTCCTCCTCCTCCTCGTCTCGTCCTCGTCCTCGTCCTCCTCCTCCTCCTCGTCCTCCTCCTCCTCCTCCTCCTCCTCCTCCTCCCCTCCCTCCTCCTTCTTCCATGCGTTTCACCCGCCCAGCACAGCGTTTCGTGGCCCCGTAGGGAGCTCCACCGAAGCCCCCAATGGGACAGCCCGCATGCGCCCCCCAACGCATATTTGGTATTTTCACCCACGCAGTACAGCGCTTCGTGACCCCATAGGGAGCTTCACCGAAGCCCCCAGTGGGACCGCCCACATGCGCCCCCCCACATCCAATTTGGCATTTCCACCCACCCAGTACACCGTTTCGTGGCCCAATGGGGCGCCCCACCGAAGCCCCCAGTAGGACAGCCCGCGTGCGTCCTCCACACCAAGTTTGGCACTGTCTCCCACCCAGCACAGCGCTTCGTGGCCCCATGAGGAGCTCCACCGAAACCCACGGGAACCGCCCGCATGCGTCCCCCACACGCCGAATTTGGCATTTTCACTCACCCAGCACAACGTTTCGTGGCCTAATGGGGAGCCCCACCGAAGCCCCCAATGGGACTGCCCGCATGCGCCCCGAACGCCCAATTTGCCATTTTCACTCACCCAGTACAGCGCTTCGTGACCCCATAGGTAGCTCCAACGAAACCCCCAGTGGTACCGCCCGCATGCGTCCCCCCCCCCATCCAACGTGGCATTTTCACCCACCCAATAGCACCGCTTCGTGGCCTTCGTGGCCTCATAGGAGCCCCACCGAAACCCCCAGTGGGACCGCCCGCATGCGTCCCCCACACCCAATTTGGCAGCGTCACCCACCCAGCACAGCGTTTCGTGCCCCCATAGGGAGCAGCTACCGAAGCACCCCGTGGGACCGCCCGCATGCGTCCCCCACTCAATTTGGCATTTTCACCCACCCAGTACAGCGCTTGGTAAACGCATGAGGAGATCCACCGGAACTCCCACTAGGACCGCCCGCGTGCGTCCCCCACGCTCAATTTGGCATTTCCATCCACCCAATACAGCGCTTCGTGACCCCATAAGAAACTCCATCGAAGTCCCCCAGCGGTACCGCCCACATGCGTCCCCCCACATCCAATGTTGCATTTCCGCCCACCCAGTACAGCGAGCGCTCCGTGGCCCCATACCGCCCGCATGCGTCCCCCACACTCGATGTGGCCTTGTCACACACCCAATACAGCGCTTCGTGACCCCATAGCGAGCTCCACCGAAACCCCCAGTGGGACCGCCCGCATGCGCCCCCCACGCCCAACTTGGCACTGTCACCCGCCCAGTACAACGCTTCGTGCCCCCATAGGGAGCTCCACCGAAACCCCCAGTGGGACCGTCCGCATGCGTCCCCCGCACCCGATTTGGCATTGTCACCCACCCAATACAGCGCTCCGTGGCCCCATAGGCAGAACCTCCCAATGGGACCGCTCGCGTGCGCCCACCATGCGCAATTTTTCATTTTCACCCGCCCAATGCAGCGCTTCGTGGGGTTCACAGGGAGCTCCACCGAAGCCCCAGTGGGACCGCCCGCACGCGTCCCCACAAGGAGCTACACCGAAGCCTCCAGTGGGACCGCCCGCATGCGTCCCCCACGCCCTGTTTGGCATTTTCACCAACCCAGTACAACATATCGTGGCCCCATATGGAAGCCCCACCGAAGCCCCCACTGGGACCGCCCGCATGCGTCACCCGACACCCAATTTGGCATTGTCACGAACCCTTTACAACGCATCGCGACCCCATGTGGAGCTTCACCGAAAACCCAAATTGGACCGCCCGCGTGCGTCCCACACGCCGAATTGGGTATTTTCACCCACCCTGTGCAGCGCTTTGTGGCCTCATAAGGAACTTCGCCGACGGCCCCAGTGCTACCGCCCGCATGCGTTCCCCGCCCGCCCAGCGCAGCTATAGGGAGCTTTACCGAAGAAGAAGAAGAAGAATAATACGAAAAATAAGAAGAATAAGAAGAATAATAATAAGAATAAGAAGAACAACGAGAAGAAGAATAATCGTAAGAAAAATAAGAAGAATAACTTCACAAGTGCGATACCCACAATTTCATATGGTTGGGTTTTTCGCCTGGATAATTTGATAAACCGTTTCCATTCCAGGGGCACCGTGCAGTGAGCGGTGGAAAAAACGCCCCCCCGCCGCTTCTGGGGCCCAGGTCCGTCTCGTCGTCTCGCCCCATCACCTCCGATTTGGCGGAAAAGTGCAACACGTGCACACCCCCAGACCCATCTAACTGCGCCATCTTTCGAGCCGGGTCAGTCTCTGAGGTTCGGACGCCCATTCCCGTGCATGCATTCGATGTCGTGCGTTTTTTGTTCCGCAAGACGATCCAGGATGCTCCTCGAGGGTCTTCGCCGACAAAACACGCCCACGTCCGATCGATGTCAAGAAGACCTCGGTTTCCGTTTGGCGGGGCCGCCTCCTCGTCCTCCTCCACAAGAACTGCGAACACTATCCTGGCGAAGGGCCCAACGATATGAAGTTGTGGGTACCGCAATTGTGAATAGTTTCTTCGGTGAAGCTCGCTATGGGGCCACGAAATGCATGCGGGCGGTAGCGCTAACGCCGCCGGTGAAGATCCCTATGCAGCCACGAAGCGCTGCACTGGGTGGGTGAAAATTTCGAATTAGGCGTGTGCGACGAACGCGGGCGGTCCCAATGGGGGTTTCGGCGGGGCTCCCTATGGGTCCACGAAGCGCTGTACTGGGCGAGTGACAATGCCACAGTGGGTGTGGGGGACGCATGCGGGCGGCCCCACTGGGGGCTTCGGTGGGTTTCCCTATGGGGCCACGAAGCGCTATAGTGGGCCGGTGAAAATGCCAAATAAGGTGTGGGGGACGCATGCGGGTGGTCCCACTGGAGGCTTCGGTGGAGCTCCGTGGGGGACGCATGCGGGCGGTACCACTGGGGGTTTCGGTGGAGCTCCCTATGGGGCCACGAAGCGCTGTGCTGGGTGGGTGAAAATGCCACATTGGGCATGGTGGACGCACGCGGGCGGTCCCATTGGGGGTTTCGGTGGAGCTCCCTATGGGCCACGGAGCGCTGTAGTGGGTGGGTGCCAGTGCCAAATCGGGTGTGGGGGACACATGCGGGCGGTCCCACTGGGGGCTTCGGTGGGGCTCGCCATGGGGCCACGAAGCACGGTACTGGGCGGGTGGCAATGCCAAGTTGGGTGTGGGGGACGCATGCGGGCGGTCCCACGCAGGGCTTCGGTGGGGCTCCCTATGGGGCCACGAAGCGCTGTACTGGGTGGGTGAAAATGCAAAATTAGATGTGGGGGGCGCATTTGGGCGGTACCACTGGGGGGTTCGGTGGAGCTCCCTATGAGGTCACGAAACGCTGTACTGGATGAGTGAAAATACCAAATTGTGCGTGGTGGACGCGCGCGGGCGGTCCCACTGGGTTCTTCGGTGGGGCTCTCCATGAGGCTACGCAACGCTGTACTGGGTGGGCCAACGTGCCAAATTGGGTGTGGGGGACGCATGCGGGCTGTCCCACTGGGGGCTTCGGTGGAGCTCCTTATGGGGCCACGAAGCGCTGTGCTGGGTTGGTGACAGTGCCAAGTTGGGCGTGGGGGACGCATGCGGGCGGTCCCACTGGGGGCTTCGGTGGGGTTCCCTAGGTGGGTGGAAATGCAAAATTGGAAGTGGGGGGCGCATGTGGGCGGTACCACCGGGGGCTTCGGTGGAGCTCCCTATGGGGTCACGAAGCGCTGTACTGGGTGGGTGAAAATGCCAAATTGGGTGTGGGGGCGCATGCGCGCGGTCCCAATGGGGGTTTCGGAGCTCCCCATGGGGCCACGAGGCGGTATATTGGATGGGCGATAGTGCCAAGTTGGGTGTGGGGGACGCGTGCGGGCGGTCCCAATGAGGGGCTCCGGTGGGGTTCCCTATGGGGCCACGAAACGCTGTGCTGGGTGGGTGACAGTGCCAAGTTGGGCGTGGGAAGCGCATGCGGGCAGTCCCACTGGGGGTTTCGGTGGGGCTCCCTATTGGGCCACGAAACGCTGCATTGGGTGGGCGGAAATGCCAAATTGGATGTGGGGACCGTGTGGGCGGTACCACTGGGGGTTTCTGTGGAGCTCCCTATGGGGTCACGCAGCCCTATAGTGGGCCGGTGAAAATACCAAATTGGGTGTGGGGGGGCGCATGCGGGCGGTCCCACTGGGGCTTCGGTGGAGCTCCCTGTGGGGCCACGAAACGCTGCCCTGGGTGGGTGAACATGCCAAATTGGGTGTGGGGGACGCATGCGGGCGTTCCCACTGGGGGCTTCGGTGTACCTCCCTATGGGGCCACGAAGCGCAGTGTTGGGTGTTTGAAACGCATGGAACAAGGATGAGGGAGGGGAGGAGGAGGAGGAGGAGGAGGAGAGGAGGAACGCGAGGCGACGTCTCTTCAAAACGATGACCCAACACCACAGGATGGTTGGGAACAGAAAGAAACAAGGGGTGGCCCTCCCAATGATCCCGTCAGGAGGAAAGGGGGAGGAGGAGGGGGAGGGGGAGGGGGAGGAGCAGGAGGAGGAGGAGGAGGAGGAGGAAGAGGAGGAGGAGAGGAGGGCAGCGGCGGCGGAGCGGTGTCGGGCCGAATGCCTCCGTGCCAGATGAATCTACATAGCTGAACGCGCCGAGCACGGCGTTCAGCCTTGTTGACCGCTCGCGTCAAGGTCGCCGCTGCGCCAACGCGGCGCGAGCTTCCCGTGAGAACCCCTGGGGGGGGGATCCAACCCCTGGGCCGTGACACGCCTGAGCGTCGTCCTGTACTGTACTGGCTGACGCCAGGGCGTGCCACCGCCCAGGCTCGCCCCCCCCCCCCCCCCCCCGAGGAGCTCTCGGTGGTCGTTGTCCCTGCTTCTCCTCTGACTGATGCTTTGCGCGCGCGCCTCTCCTCCTCCTCCTCCTCCCTCCTCCTCCTCGTCGTCCTCCTCGTCGTCCTCCTCGTCGTCCTCCTCCTCCTCCTCCTCCTCCTCCTCCTCCTCCCCTTCCTCCTCCTCCTCCTCCTCCTCCTCCTCCTCCTCCTCCTCCTCCTCCTCCTCCTCTGGTCTGGTCGTGCTCCCTGCCCTTGTGCCCTGTGCCCCCCCCGGCCACTTCCGCATCCCGCTGTAGTAGCCGGACATGGCCGGCCAGCGCACGGAGGAGCTCGCGATAATTACCTCTGGGCTCTGTGGGGGGGCCGCGCGGGGGGCGGGCCTGGGCTGAGTGCTCCGTGGCTGCGCGGTGGCACATCGGCTCATCGAAGCCGTGGGATTGCAATGTCGGGGGCGCGCAGACATGGATCGGGGGGGATGCCCTCCCTAAAATGCGGCTGGTGCCGCCTCGTTGGGCGGCGGAGATCCGCGGTTTCCCATGGGAACGCCGTCGCGAATCCACGCCCCCTTGATCCATGTTTGCGATCGCCTGAAAATGTCTTGGTGGCATCTATATCTAGTTGCTCGAGCCTCCTGACAACCAGCTCCATGGCCTAAATTGGAGGACATCGTGGCGTCCCTGGACTCCGCCGGCCCCCGGGGGGCCAACAGGCTGCGCGGCGGACGTTCCCTCTTCCCTGCAATAGGGCCAGTGCGATGGTTTCCATGAATATAGATATAGGTATGGTTCCAAAGTTGGAGTTGTTCACGCCCCCATCTGCGGGCGGCGGATGAGGATAACGGACAAGCGGAATGGAGCGACACTGAGATCCGGCACGGCCCATACCAGCAACGCATCTCAGAACACGCGCGAGGAAGATACTGGGGTGGCAGACATCGGCGGGGCAACAACTTTGCATGCCCGACATGATGGGCCTTTCTTCCACCACCACAACCACCGTAAGCTGGATGGTGGGAAGGAAGAGGAGGACGAGGAGGAGGAGGAGAAGAAGGAAGACACCCCCCCTCCAACTTATGGTGGTAGTGGTGGAAAACCGGGCCCATCACGACAGGCCCCCGATCGCACAGAAGTCGGCACCTGTGCACCGTGAAGCGTCCCCCTGCCCGCGCGGGCGCCCATTGGCCGACGGCGGGCCCATGCTCGGCGGCGAAACCAAGGGGGAATGAGAAGGGGCGGGCCTTCGCAGACGGCTCGGAAGCCCCCCAGCCTTCTGAGAGATGTTCTGAGCCTTGCCCGAAGGCACGGACAGCCTCTACGAGGGCGAGGGCTCCCGAGAAGTCCCCCCGCCGTCTGAGAGGGCCTTCTCCTTCTCGCTTCCCCCCCCTCGCCCGACGCCGAGATGTCGAACCAGATGCCCCACGAAGTCGCGCTTCTGGCTCCTCCCCCGTCCTCCTGCTGCCGCCGCTGCTGCTGACAATGCTGCCGCCGCCGAGGTGCCTCGTGTCCATCCCTGCCCCCATCCTCGTCCTCCTCGTCCTCCTCGTCCTCCTCCTCCTCTTCCTCCTCCTCCTCCTCCTCCTCCTCCTCCTCTTGTCCAAACTTGAAGGGGCCCAAGGGCACACAATACATAGGCACAGATCCCAAGGTTCTCCACATTTTTCTGTATTGGAGTTCCGTCTTCCCCCCAAAAAACACACACACACACTTCCCATACTTTTTCCATGTTACCCCCAGGGTCGACGATAAATTGCGTCTGAATGATTTGTCCCTCCTGACCCTCGTCCTCCTGTCCAACTTGTTCTTCGTGAAACCTCGCCTCCCACCCTTCAAAACCTCCCCCTGCGCCGCCCGCCGCTGCTTTGGACCCCGAAGCTCTCCAAGCCGGCTCGGACGAAACTCGCGCCCAGAGGTGCCTTGCCTCCTAGCTGGGGCGCGGCTCGCTGCGCTTATGGTTCAGACCGCGGGACTGCCAGGCCTCGCCCCCCCCATTATCCATTACCGCCGTTCGGTGGAAACTCATGGTAGCCTCCCACACCATCTTGTCGACTCTTGCGAATCGACGCTACTCCAAGCTACATCGACGCTGAGTCGACCCTAGATCGACGCTAACCGACGCTCATTCGGCGCTATCTCACCGACTCCCAGACGCTAATAGACGCTGGTTGACGCTAAAGACGGAGCTGCGAGGGTATACCAGGCTCCCATGATTTGTTACTGAACCACCACTTGGGGGTAAGATCTTCGGGGACCTCTGCAGGCGGTGGATTTGGATACAAAAGGCCCCTGGGGCCCGAACATCGAGGCCTCCTCGATGGGGTCGGCGTGCGTAGATGGGGTCGGCGGATCGCGCCGCATCGCCATTGCATCGGCGATGCATCGGCGACGCCAGCGTGGAGGAAGTCGGGCTCCGCATCGAGTCCATCGGAGATGCGGCACGATCCTCCGACCCCCTCTACTCCGACCCCATCTTGGAGGCCTAAAGTTAGGTCGGGCGTGTCCCCCTACAGGCGGATATCGCAGGAAAAAGCAATCGAAGCGTATTCGAACGCAGCAGCAGAAACAAAAATAGAACAATCGCCCCCGAACTATTTGTTCGACAGTTTTTGGACATTCCTCCTGTAGAGGGACGTGCCCAATTCAATCCTGGCAGCGCTCATTACGCGGCGTGAAAACGACCACAGCCACTGCTTTTCTGTTGTTGTCGCCTTCCAGCCCGCAGAAACAAAGCAGTGGTTGTGGCCATTTTTGCTGAGCTTGGCACCAGGGAAATGACCACAACCACTGCTTCTTTTTCGGGAAGCTGGAAGGCGGCGCAGACAAGAAGCAGTGGATGTGGTCATTGTCCCGTCCCGCAGCTCGTTCGAGAGCTCCCGAGCGAAGTGAACCCCACCCTTCCCCTCAGAAATCGTGGGGGCAGGGGTTGGGTTCGCATGTGGCCCCCTACTGAAGGCCGAAGGGCCACCCCCTACCCTCGAGCTGTGTTGCTCCCATCGTACTGAAAGGCCACATCCCAGAACTAGTTTCGAGCACCCGGAGACGAGTCGAAAGAGTGTCGAAACGGTGTCGAAATAAGGTCGAACGAGTGTCTCCCAGGGCCCGACACGTGAAAATTCTCGAGGTTCGTTTCTTTCTTGGTGCTCGAAATTTCTTCTGGTGATCCAGGCTAAAGCAGGTTGGAGCATCATAACTTTAGAGGGCAGAATATCCACCCCCACAATAGTCACCCCGACAAGCGAAGCTGTTTTTAGTAAACGCACCCAGAGGGAGGAATCGAACAGGGCAGGGCTGCTCAGTAAACGCCCAGGGCCTTTCCGTAGACGTCAACTGTCAGGTCCGGGTGGTTCTTCCTCCCTTGATACCCTTCTGCGTGCCGCCAACCTATCTCTAGAGGCCTCCTAGATGGGGTCGAGATTAATATGGTCGGAGGGTCGCGCTGCATCGCCGATACATCAGCGATGAACGGCGATGCATCCGGCGATGCGCCAGCAATGCATCGTTGACGTCAGCGATGCATCGGCGACGTCGGTGCGGGGAAACACGGGCTCCACATCGAGCCGCATCGTCGATGCATCGGCGATGCGGCGCGATCCTCCGACCCCATCTGCTCGGACCCCATCCAGGAGGCCTAGAATCTCCCACCATGGCAACGCCCCTCACTCAATCTCCCTTCTCCGAGATGCAGGCTATGGCTCTGGCAGCCGTTCGGGCGTGGGGGGTCCTGGCAAGAGAAGGCCCCCACGCGGCGACTGGAGCGCACCGTGAGAGCGCCCAGACGGCCTAAAGGAAAGCACGCTCGGGCGACGCGTCTAAAGACAAGCCCAGCCGGCCTAGAGATCAGCCCAGCTGGCCTCCTCCCCATCCCCTGCTCCCTTCTCCCCTCCGCTCCTCCCATCCCCCTCGGGGGTACCGAACGGTGCGATGACAGACCCTGTGGTGTCCTCGAAATTCGGGTCGGGCGAAAGGGGGGGATAGCAAAGGGGGGGTTTGAGAATCAGCTCACGTGGCTGATTTTCCCGGCGCCTCCCGGCGCCGGAGGCGGCTATGTATCAAGGAATGGGCCCCTCGGTGAGGCCGAAACCAGCTGCATGTAGCAAATTTCGTAACCTTTCCCATATCCCCCGACTTTCGTCCGGCCCGAGAAATCCCAAGAGACCTCCCCGCACGGTCCGCCACCGCGCGGCAGGTTGCAATCGCCCAAGGCATCCTCGAAGACCGACCCCGGAGCCGAACAACCGTGCGGCCACCCCGAATCCAGGCATCCGGCTGCTCCAATTGCTTCGATGCGTGGGCCCCGGAGATCCAAACCACTTCCCCGGGGCCGGTTTTGCATCCTCTCCTGAACCGTGCTGTGACGCTCCCGAGGCCCGGCGAGGGCCCCGAGAGGCCGAAAACTGCGCAGATCCCGCCGCTCCAATGTTTTCTGGAGCGTCGGACCTCTGGGGAGTAAGCAATTTGGGAGTCTTGAGCAGGGAGCGACCGCCCTGGCATTCCTATAGGCCTATCATGCCATGTTCTTAGAACCCCGAACATGTTCCAAAAACAAAAGCAATGTTCTTAGAAAGAAGCACGGTGTTAAAACAAGAAAGTCTCAGCCAAGAGTATCATAATATTTCTTGCAAACCGAAAGATACTCAAAAGGGTGGGCAGAACCAAATCCAAACCAACACAAACTAAACTATAATTCAGACAGGTGTTTAGACAACTCTTTGGTGGGCCTATAAGCGAGCCAGCACGCCTCGTCACTGCTTCCAGACCCCCGACGTCATGATTTGTCCATGACGCGAGCCCCAGAGGTCCGAACCCATTCCCCGGGACCCATTTTGCATCCTGAGCCGTTTTCTGACGGGCCCGAGGCCCGGTGAGGGCCCCCAGAGGCCGAGAATAACGAAAAACCGTCCGTCGTGATTTTGCTCATGGCAGGAACGGGTCTGGGCTTGAGAGGCAAGGAACGCGCTCGGCGATCCGTGGGGACGACATCGGGGATCTTCTGGCCTGGGTCCATTCAGATCCGGGCCAGTCAGGCCTTGCAGAGTCCTACGAGATCCTGCAAGACCCTGCACCCAAGCCCGGGCCAATGCGAAGGATCCTGCAAGATCCTGCGATATCCTGCACCCAAGTCCGGGTCAATGCGACCCTGGCCCGGCAGGAGCATGCAAGATCTGGCGCTCTGGCTGACCCCCGTTTGCATTGACCCCCCGTCTCCTGTCGGGTGTTGCTGGCAGTGCCCCTGGCCCAAGGTGCCCCCAGGATCCTCGGGGTGGCCCAGACGGCCTCCAGAGCACTCCCAGCGAGGCCCAGAGGGCCCCCAGGGGCCCAAACGTGCGGCGAAAAGCTGGGGGTACCTTGGGCAGGAGAGCCCATAATCGAATCGATAAGTCGGATCGGCGATCTAAATGAATCGGATCGGCGGACATCGGCAGCCGAGTCGGGAAAAGTCGGGTCGGCGGAAATCAGCAGGCTACGATGCGTCCCATAAGAAGTCGGAATCCGAATCGGAATCCCAAGTCGAATCGAATCGGAATCGAAAGCCATCGAAATCGAATCGAATCGAATCGGAGGAGTCGAAATGAGGCCTGCTTGGGCCAGGGGCACTTCTGGCAGCACCCGATCTTGAGCCCCGACGACAGCGAGCAGCGGCCGCCCCGAGGACAGGCCTCTCTCGCGCCGCGCGCCGGCGGCCTGACCCACGCTGCGTACCGTGCCAGCGTTCGGTCGGGCGTGTCCTCCCACTGGCGAGTTTTGGGCGAACAGAAACATCCAAGCAAACACCTCAAACACTCAAAACATGCTCCCAAATGCGCAAGCCACACTCCAAAACAAACTCAAGGAATACTCAAGAAATGCTCCAGCACAATCAAACATTAATTCACAACGAACCAACAAAAACTCAAAAACAAACAACACATGTTAGAATAATCGTCCCCAGAGTATGTTCTTACTGTTTCTGACTGTGCCTCCTGTCGAAGGACGGGCCCGACTGAATGCCAGTGCCCGGTGCCGCCGGGCGGAGGGGGGGGGTCGAGCGCGCTCAGTACGGAAAGGAGATGTACTTCCCCAGGACGGGGAAGATGGCGAACGTGATCGCCACATCCTCGGCGCCCCACTTGCCATCGCTCGGGCGCGTCCATGCAGTGCAGGCCAGTCCACGAGAAACCTTCCATAGGAAACCCAACCCTGAGACCCCGTGGGAACGTCAGGCCTCCCCACGGCAAAAAAATCGAAGCCCAAGAAACCCATGGCACCCTGGAGGCAAGCAAGGTGTTTCCTGGCATGGGCCCCCACTGCACTCCCCGTGCGTATATTTGCCGGTGTCGTGCGTGAGTTTTGTTTTTTTGTTGCAAGATGATCTCCAGGAGGCTCCTCCGTGGTCCTCGCGGAGAAAAAAATGCACACCTCCGAGCGATGCCGAGCCAACACAGGGGGGGGGACATGGGAGGGGAGAGCGGGGGAGATGGGGGAGGCATGGGAGTCGGGACCAAGCCAACAGGGAGGGGTGGGGGCAGGAGGGGGGGGGGGGGGCATGGGGGAGGGGAGAGCGGGGAGGAATGGGAGTCGGGAGGGCGGTGGGGCAGATGCAGGGGCCGCACATGGAGGCAAGCCGACGATGAGCAGAGATGCGCAGGGGGCGCAACATGGGGGGCTCCTCGCAGGAAGAGGAGCAGGCGGAGAAGGCCGCAGGCCGAGAGGCAGAAGCCCTCGAAGCGCGCTGTCTTCGGGAACCTCTGCGAGACTGGGACTCGCCATCGCTCGGACGCCCGTTTCCCGTGCATTTCTCGGTTTCGTGCGTGTTTGTTTTGCTCGATGGTCCAGGATGGTCCTCGAGAGTTCTCGCCGAGAAAAACTGCACACGTCCGAGCGATGCCGAGGGGAAGAGAGCGCCTCCGACCTCCTGCGGCCTGCGATGACGCTGCAGCCGGGCGCAGACACGTGCCCGTCGCGCCGCTCTGCGCCCTCCCGCCTCTCCCTCTTCGCCCCGCCTCCGCTTGGGTGCTCCGTCTGGCCGGCGTCGTCGTCCTCCTCCTCCCTTCCCCCGAGGCTCTCGGGGAGAAGGAGGAGGAGGAGGAGGACGAGGCTTCGAAAACCTTCAAACATCTCCTCAGGACCTCCCTGGAAACCTCCAGAGGCTCCTGAAACCTCTGGAGGTTCTCAGGGAAGTCCTTGGAGGCCTTCCGGAATCCCCTGAGGCTTCTGGAGTCCCCCACAATACACAAGGCGCCCAATCACTTCGATCATCGAGGATCAAGGATCAAGGAGGACCCCCCCCCATCAATCCTTAATTCCTCTTCTGCCCCCCCGACTGCCTCCTCCTCGTGTGCCACCCGCCTCAAGAGAACTCCTGACAGAGAATTGCAATCAAATCCCCGATGGATGTCCGACTGCACAGAACTTCCACCCGCGCACACGCGCAACGCAATGAGCGTTTGCGCGGAATGCGCGGCATGCGCATGCCATTGGAACGCCCCCGAGGAACTGTCTCACATCCCCGGCCAGTGCGTGTTGCACGGATAGGCGGAGGCGGAGGATGATGCGGATTAGGATGCGGATGAAGAGGAGTGGCTGACGAACAGGAGCGGACGGATGAGCGGCAAGAACAAGAGCAAGAGCATAACAAGGAAAACGACAGAAAGGGCGGACGCGGAGAACCGACGGCAAAGGAGCAAGGGAGCGATCTCAGTGCTCGCAGGCTGGCAACCGCTCTCGGCCTCATCTGACAGATTTGCATCGCGCTCCATGAGCTGTCTTCAATCGCACACGAGGCCCGAACTCGGCGGCGTGCCTGGGGGGGAAGCGGAAGGGGGCGAGCCTTCTCAGAAGGCACTGAGGTCCCCCGGCCCTCTGAGAACGTTTCTGAGTCTCCCCCGAAGACACAGAAAACGCCTCAGGAGGCCGGAGGGCTTCTGAGAAGCCCCGCCGCCTCCTGAAAGGGCCTTCCTCTTCTCACCTCCCCCCCTCGCTCGCCGTCGCACGGGTGCATCCCACCGGCGCTCGACATGAAGCCCTCGCCGCTGCCGTTCCAAAGACCACCCCAGCGAAGAAGGACCCAACCAGATGCAGTAATTAGCACCGCGCTGTGGCACTGCTTTCGTGGCGCTCCCTATGGGTTGGAGGCGCGCACAAGGGGGTGGAGGGAGGGGGGGAGGGCTTCTTAGAAGGAGGCTGCTTCTTAGAAGGCGCCGGCCTTTCATGTGTAGATGAGGCCCGCGCCTTCACAGAAGCAGGGGTGCTTCTAAGAAGCCCTCCCCCTCCCCCCCCTGCGCGCGGCGCAGGGTGTTTCTTGGCATGGGCCTCCACTGTATTGGGCCCGTCGGGCGTTTGAGGGCCATGTGGAGGAGGAGAAGGAGGAGGATGAGGAGGGAGGAAGAGGAGGAGGAAGCGGAGGAGGGAGGAGGATGGAGGGGGAGGAGGAGGGGAGGAGGGGGAAGGAGGAGGAAAGAGGAGGAGGAGGGAGGAGGAGGAGGAGGAGGAGGAGGAGGAGGAGGAGGGGTGTGCCGACAACGAGCGGGGAACCGCCGCTGCCCCAGAAGCGGGGCGGCGGCGCGCGGCGGCGCGCGGGGCAGCAGGCCCGGGCCGCGCCCGCGGCCGCCATGGTGGGGGCCTCGCTTTCCACCAGCACCACCACCAGAAGTAGGAGGGGGAGGTGGGGAGGGGGTCCTCCTCCTCCTCCTCCTCCTCCTCCTCCTACTCCTCCTCCTCCTCCTCCTCTTCCTCCTCAACCTCCTCCTCCTCCTCCTTCTCCTCCCCCTCCTCCTCCCTCCTCCTCCTCCACCTCCTTCCATCCTCCAACCTCTGGTGGCGGTGGCGGAAAACAGGCCCGTCAGATGGGGTGCGGGGCGAGCACGCAGGCGCTTCGCCCGCGCCCGCCCGAGCCTGGCGCCACACCCGCCCGCCCTGCTCCCGGCTCCAGTGCGGTCGCAGGGGAATCGCCGACAAAGTGGAGGCCCGCTCACAAGAAACATTCCACAGGAAACCCAAACCCGAGACCCCAGAAGGTCCATGGTTTTCTGGTGCGGAAGAGCCACGCCTTCCACAGCAAAAAACATCGAACACCAAGAAACCCAGGGCACCCTGGAGGCAAGCAGGGTGTTTCTTGGCATGGGCCTCCACTGTATTGGGCCCGTCGCGAGTTTGAGGGTCTTGTGGAGGAGGAGAAGGAGGAGGAGGAGGAGGAGGGAAGAGGAGGAGGAAGAGGAGGAGGGAGGAGGGGGAGGAGGAGGGGGAGGAGGAGGAGGAGGAGGAGGAGGAGGAGGAGGAGGAGGAGGAGGGGGAGGAGGAGGAGGAGGAGGAGGAGGACGAGGAGGAGGAGGAGGAGGAGGAGGAGGAGGAGAAGGAGGGGTGTGCCGAAATGATTGGGGAACCGCCGCTGCCCCAGCAGAAAGCGGCGGCGCGCGAGGGGCGCGCGGCGCGCGGGGCAGCAGGCCGCGCCCGCGCACGCGGCCGCCGTGGAGTGCGGGGCGAGCACGCTGGCGCTTCGCCTGAGGTCGGGCATGTCCTCCTACAGGCGGGCTCTGGACGAACAGTTAAAAATAGTCAAAAAGATGATCAAACTTAGTCCAAAAATCGTCCCCCGACTGCTCATCCCCCTGTAGAGGGACATGCCCGACTTCAGCTTGGCCCGCGACCGCTCGAGCCTGGTGCCACCCCCGCACGCCCGCCCTGGCGGTCGCAGGGGAGCCGCCGAAAAATCCCGATAAATCGCCGATGAATCGCAGGAGGAGGAGGAGGAGGAGGAGGAGGAGGAGGAGGAGGAGGAGGAGGAGGAGGAGGAGGGAGGAAGAGGAGGAGGCGTAAGAGGAGGCGGAGGAGGAGGCGGAGGCCCGAAGCGGAGCCCCGAAGCGGAGCACCGAAGGCCCTCTGGCTTGGCCGCCGCCCGCGCCCGCGCGCCTGCACGCCGCGCGTATAAGGAAGGCGCGCGCAGCCTGCCGCCCTCTGCGCGCGATCCGCGGGCCACAGCGGCTGTCCGATGCTCCTGCACGGCTGCGCACATAGGGGAACAAAAAGTGGCATAAGCATAAAAACTCGGAGGTCCGCGCGGATTTCTCGGATCGGCGCTGGAGCCCCCTCCGCGCGCCGTGGGCGGCGCCGGAGGCGCAGCCGGGGAGCCCCAGCGCCGATCCGAGAAATCCGCGCGGACCTCCGACTTTTTATGTTTATGTTATTTTTTGCTCCCCTAGCACAGGAACACCATGTGGGCGGCGATTCAGAACGGGTCTTACGCGAGGCGACATGTAAGGGGCAACAAATCCAACCCCATGAGGACCGACCCGACAAGCGAGGTCGGCCAGTGAACGCACCCAGGGGAAGGAACGGAACAGGGCAGGGCTGTTCAGTAAACACCCAAGGCCGTATTCGGGGATCTTCTGACCCGGGTCAATCCAGACCCGGGTCAGCAGGAAACCAAAAAAATGAAATGCAAGAAGAAACAACTGCAGCGCAGGTCTACGCAAACCCGGGTCAACCAATATGCGCGCCCGCCTCGCGGCCACGAGCGGCTCGCCAACCCGGGCCAACCAGAGGGGGTCTTCGCAAGATCCTGCAGGACCCTGCGCCCTGGCCGACCCCCGTTTGCATTGACCCCCGTCTCTTGAGCCCCGACGTACAGGAAACGCTGATTCTCCGGTCCGGGTGTTTTTTCTCTCCCCTTGAGCATGGCGACCCTCCGCGGCGGCCCGCGACGGCCGCCCGCGCGACGCGCGGTGCGTGGAAGCGAGGGCGCTGTGCGTGCGCCCTTTGCGCGGGCCGCGTGCGCTCCCCAGTGTCGGCGCAGACGACTCCGCTGCTTGCCCGTCGCTCGTGCGGGGGCACGGCTCCTTGTGCACAGCCCCCACAAGCAGACTGGTGCGACTCAGGACCGTGGATGTTGTCCCCTACACGTTGCGATATGGATGCGCCACCACGGCGTAGTGGCGTAATGGCACAAGTGACTTGGTAACGCAACCGTGGTGGCAAAAAGAAACTGGGCTGTGTCCAACACGTGCATCCCCTGGGGGCACGGAGCTTGTACACGCCGACGAAGCAACTGGTCCAACGCAAGCTTGTCCAACACGTGCATCAGCTGGGGGCACGCAGCTTGTACACGCCGACGAGCGCGGGGGCGGGGGCCATGCATCGCATCGCCCTCCGACCGATGCTCCTGCACGACTGCGCACACGAACGCCATGCCTGATTCGACCGAGGAAGGGTGTGCAAAGGCAACTTGTGATATTGATGCGCCACCGCGGCGCAGTCGATTGTGTGGCCTGTTCCTCTGACATTGACGCTCAGTGCGAGGACGATGCTCTCGAAGCGCAACGATCCCGCAACAAACGCGAACATGTCACACATGCACGACACGTGCAAGCCGTGCGAAGCTCTAGAACCCCTGCCGCATCGAGCCTGCGGCCCCCGTCCCTTCCAGAGAGACTCTGATCATCCGCGGCCACGTTCCGGAATAGAAGAATGCGATCCCCTCGTTTTTCAGGATCTTCTGTGCACAATCCAAAGTGCCCGAATACAGCTTCTTGGCCTCGCCCCGCGACACCCTCGTCCATTGGCGTGCTGGCGCCCCTCCTGCCTCTGCTCGTGCCTAGACCTGTCTGGCAACTCTCGCGCTGGTCGCTATCACTGGCGCTTCTCCCCCCATTGCTCGATCGTCCTCTTTACACACCCCGTCTACGATTCTCCTCCGCCTGCTTCGTCCCCTCCTCCTCCTCCTGCCGCTGCTCCCCCTCCCCGTTCCTGTTCCAGCTCCTGAGCCCTGCCCCTGCTTCCCCTGCTGCCGCTACAGCCAAAACTGACGGTGAGGATGCACGATGAGCATGCGAGAGCCTCGGACGCCCATGCCGAAGCTGCTCGAGCTGGGCTGGCCATCGGAAGTGGTCGAGGATGGACCGGAGACGACCGAAGAGGCAGACATGCAAGGGTACCCTTTAGAAAGTCGCTCAGCCTTGTCATCAGTGCTGGCTGTGTGCAACATGTCGTACCAAGCGTCTTGCAGCAGATCGCTCCCCGAGAAGCAGGACCAGAAGGGGTGCCCCTAGCGGCCCAGGGTGCCCCCAGCTGGTCGCATTGGGTAAGGCATGTCTTCCCACTAGCGGATTTCCGACGAACAAATAGAAGTAGTCAAAACTATTCAAGAATAAGCAAATAATAATATCATAATTGTTTCATTGCTATCTGAGACAAATCGTCCCCTGACTAGCTCTAAAACTATGTTTGAGCATTCCTCCTATAGAGGGACATGCCAGACTTGGCCCAAGGTGCCTCCAGCTTTTCCCTCCCTTTTGCAGCACCTGGGGCGCTCTTGGCCTCGTGATGAGTCCCTCTGCAGGCCGTGGGGGGCCTCTTGGAAAGCCTGGGGACACGTTGGGATGTCGCTGATCCTTACTATCAGTATTGACTGTACTCCTCCTGCTCCCGATCCCCATCTCCCCGCTGATACTCCTGCTCTCTCTCTCTCTCTCTTTCTCCCTTTCTCTATCTTTATCTCCGTAGATCTTCATTATTCCTCCCTCTCTCTTCTCCCTCTCTCTCCCTCTCCCTCTCTTTCCGTCTCTCTCGCTTCCCTCGCTCTCCCTCTCGCTTGCAATCTCTCTCTCTCTCTCTCTCTCTCTTCCCCTGTTTCTCACCCCTCTTTATTTGTTGTTTTGTTGTTTTTGTTCTCTCTCTCTCTCTCTCTCTCTATATATATATGTATAAGTATAGAATGTTTTGTTTGTTACGCTCTCTCTCTATCCCTCTCTCATCTTCCATTTCTCTCACCCGCTTCGCCCCCACTTCTGCTTCGGGCGGCCTCTGACTGCTGATACATCGAGAACGCCTCTCAATGCACGTGCATTCGCACTCTGGGCAGTCCGAGCCCAGATGAAGGCTCCGTGCACCTGACAGGTCACGACATCGCGACCGCACCCTCCGCGAGAAGGCCCCAGGAGACGCGCCCGAACGGGGTCCCAGCCCTTCAGGACAATACCATAATTCAAATCCCCCCGGCTCATCGAGCACGTAAGTGTGCCTGCCAAATGATTGACGGTTCACCACCCGACAGGTTGAGGCTGTTGGGCTCAAGAACAGAGCTCCCGACCCGCCCGCCCTGCTTACCGCGGCCGGCGAGTGCGCCGACGTCGACGCTGGCGACGACGACGATGACGACGGCGACGGTGGCGATGGCGGTTCCACCGGAGACAACGCCGGCGAAGGCGATGTCTGGCGACGGCGAGGGCGGAGACGATGACCCCAGTCTGGCCCAAGAGGGCCCGAAGACGTCTGAACAGGAGGGCCCGAAGACACCCTGATATCTGAGCGCCCATGACTTTGGGAGTAACGAGTTCTCACCGTTTCGAGCTTCCGCCAGCCCAAGACGGCCTAGGGCCTCCAAGATTGGCTCAAGGCGGCCCTAGGGGCCCCCAAGAACGCCTCAAGACGGCCCCAGAGGCAATACAAATGAGCCAAGAAGCCTCTCACAGCCCGGCCAGAACACTCGCATATCGAGGCTGGCACGCCGAACAAAAATATCAGAAGATAGCCCAGAGGAAGAAACAACAACATAAACATAAGCTGTTGGCGCTCCGCGCGGATTTCTTGGATCTACGCCGGACCTCCTCCCTGACGCGCGGAGGCGGCGCCGGAGGCGGCGCCCGGGGGGCCCAGTCCGGACCCAAGGAATCCGCGCGGAGCGCTACCAATCCATGGTTACGCCGTTGTTTCTTCTTCGAAGCACGCCGAAATCGATATACGGAAACATTGTTTGATCCGCGGGTCGAGAGCGCACCTCCTCCGGTCGAAGCTAAGCGGGCCGCGCACAGCTTTGATTAGCAAAGGGGGGGGGCAGGAGGAGGGGCCCCTATGATACACGGTACATCCGAACGCCTCGAACCCAAGCCCCCAACGTCATGACTTTTTCCTGACGCGGCCCCCCCAGAGGTCTGGACCCGTCCCCCGGGGCTGGCTTGTTTCATCCTGCGTCGTTTCTTGTTGACGGCCACGAGGTCCAGTATAGGGGCCCCCAAGGGCCGAACGTACCAGAAAACCTCCCGTCGTGACTATTTGCTTCATTAGGGGAACAAAAAGTGGCATAAGCATAAAAACTCGGAGGTCCGCGCGGATTTCTCGGATCGGCGCTGGACCCCCCTCCCCGGCGCGCGGAGCGCGCCAGGGGCGGCGCCGGAGGCGCCGCCGGGGGGCCCCGGCGCCGATCCGAGAAATCCGCGCGGACCCCCGAGTTCTTATGTTTATGCCACCTTTTGTTCCCCTGTTCATGACCCGAGGGGGTCTGGGAACCTCGAACCTCGACTACAGTCGGGGCGTCGACCTAAGGAACCCTAAATAAGGAACGAGGCCCCTTTTTCCCATCAGTGAAGGTTCGATTTCCCATCGAAAACCTGAGGAAAGCCTGGGGCAAGCTGTGAAACAATCAAGGAACACGGATCCCCTCCCACACGAAAAGGCTTCGTTCTTCAGCGCCCCGACTGTATGACCCCGTCCTCCCGGCTGCCTGCGCGCGCCCCTGGCGGACCACCCAATGCGAGGCGGCGCCGCCGCACGCCCCGCGGGCCCGCCGGCGCTTCGGAGCCCTCTCCACGCTGGCGGAGGCTGCTTCCGTGCATGGCCGCATGTGGCCCGCTCTCAACCGGGGGGAGGAGAAAAGGCTCCTCCTCCTTCTTCCTCCTCCTCCTCCTCCTCCTCCTCCTCCTCCTCCTCCTCCCCCTCCTCCTCCTCCTCCCCCTCCTCCTCCCCCTCCTCCTCCTCCTCCTCCCCCTCCCCCTCCTCCTCCTCCTCCTTTAAAGCGAAGCCAAAGCCATGATCCGCCGGCCCCCGCCTGCCGCGGGCGAGAAGGCGTTCGAGATGACTGGCTGTCCCCCTCCCCCCAAAGGATGCGAGGCCGGGACATGCCGATGGCGGACGCCCCGCCTCGGCAGGCAGGACGCACGCGCCCAGTCATTTAACGGGCGAAGAACGGCATAAAACAAACTTCTTCGCCGTCGGGGACACCTGCCCCAGGGCGGCTGGAAAGTTTATACCCCTACGGTGCCACCGTAAGGGTATAAACTTTCCAGCCGCCCAGGGGCAGGTGTCCCCGACGGCGGAAAGTTTATTTTATACCGTTCTTCGCTCGCTGAGTCATGCAAACGACGGCTGCCCCCGTGCCAAGAAAAAACGCTCGCGCCACGCGCCCCCCCCCAGGGATCACAATCCCGCTTGGAGGGGAGGGGGGGGGTCTGGGCTCGTCCGGGCTCGCCGGCGCACCCCGGAGACTCCGGAGCTGCCAAAGATCCCAGAGATCCAGGACGGCCCTGCATCGTTGCACGACTGGCCCAGGACGCCCAGGACGGCTCCAAGATGCCCCAAGACGCCTTCGAGAAGCCCCAAGAGTCTCCCCAATGAGTGCTGGAAAGGCACAAATCCATGGTTTTCCGAGGGGTTTTGAAGGATTTGGGCGCTCTAGCCTTTCTTGTCTTCCGACGCTCCAAGACGGCCCAAGAGGCTCCAAAAATGCCCCCAAGACGGCCCAGAAAGCCCTCAATAGGCAGCCAAGACAAGCGAGAAGCGCTCCAAGAAGACCCAAAACCGCCCCTAAGAGGGCCCCAAAGATCCAAGACTGTCCTGAATCGTTGAACGATTGGCCCAAGACGCTTAGGACGCTCCAAGATGCCCCAAGACGCCTTCGAGAAGCCCCATCCCCAAGAGTGTTGGAGGGACACAAGTGCATGGTTTTCCGGAGGGTTTTGAAGGCTTTGGGCGCTCTCACCTTTTTGGTTTTCCGACGCGCCAAGACGTCCCAAGAGGCTCCAAAAATGCCCCCAAGACGGCCCAGAAAGCCCTCAATTGGCAGCCAAGACAAGCGAGAAGCGCTCCAGGAAGACGCCCCTAAGAGGGCCCCAAAGATCCAAGACTGTCCTGAATCGTTGAACGATTGGCCCAAGACGCTTAGGACGCTCCAAGATGCCCCAAGACGCCTTCGAGAAGCCCCAAGAGTCTGTCTCCCCAAGAGTGTTGGAGGGACACAAGTGCATGGTTTTCCGGAGGGTTTTGAAGGCTCTGGGCGCTCTCGCCTTTTTGGTTTTCCGACGCGCCAAGACGTCCCAAGAGGCCCCAAAGAGGCCCCCAAGATAGCCCCAGAGGCCCCCAAGCGGGCCCCAAGACTGCCTAAGAGCGCCCCAAGAAGCGCCCAAGACGGACCAAGAGGGCCCCAAGACGGCCCCAACAGGAGCCCAAGAGAGGGAACACGAACCGAAATCCGAGCCTTCCGCCCCGAGACGTCCCCAGGAGGCCCCAAGACACCTTCGAGGCGCCCCGAGAGCCTTCCCACGAGGGCCCCAAGAGGCAAAACTCAATGGTTTCCTGAGGTTTTCAATTGTTTCTGAGGTTCTCGTCTTTGCGAGATTCCGACCGACGCTCCAAGACGGTCCAAAAAGTTCCGTAGACCGCCCCAAAACTGCCCAAGAGGTCCCAGGGCGCCAGGACGGCCCAGGAGGGTTCCAAGACGGCCCAAAGAGGGGCCAAAGATCGCCCCAAGAGGGCCCCAACAGAGGCAAAGTGAGAAAACACGAACCGAACATCCTATCTTTCCCCCCAGGAGGCCCCCCAAAGTCCCCAAGAACCCCCCAAGCGGCCCCACAGAGACCCACAATGAGCCCCAAGAGGCCCCCCGAGGGCCCAGAAGAGGCCCCCACAACGGGTCCCTTGACGCTTCAAAACTGACTCCAAGAGGCTGCGCAAGGCCCGCAAACAGCTCCCACGACGCCCACAAGAGTCCCCAAATTGTGCCCGAGAAGCTCCCGACACCTCAACCTTGGACTCCCTGCTTGATCTGTGGGTCCGGCGGAATGGCGTAAATCTCTTGAATCACATCGGGCAAAGACCCGGGCGACGGGCCTTATGAGAGGCTAAAATCGGACAGCGATATATCGGACACCGATAAATCGGACAGCAGTTTGGCCGGGACGAGGCTAAAATCGGACAGCGATGAATCCAGAATCTCTGAAATCCAGCGGCTCTGGGAAACGTATCGGGCGCCTTCTGAGAGAGTTCAGGGACGCTCTGAGAGGGAGCTCCGGCACGCTCTGGAACGGCGCCCGTCCTGCCGTCCGACAGCCCGGTCCTACGGGGTTGCTCAGCCAATGTACGAATGTCCGTAGATTCGCTACCTTCGCGCTCTGACTCGGACATGTGCTCGTGCATGTTGCCACGCCGTCTCATGTGGCATTGCACCGGCTTTGCAGACGTGCCGCAGCGGAGTGTTGCGTGGATTTCTGCCCATGCAGAACCCCGAAACGGCCAGGGAACAACGAAATTAATTTCACGTAGGTTGTTTTAATCTTCACTCGAGGCCAACAAATGCCGCACGACACTCATTCGAAATCCGAAAAAATCCTTAGGACAATGCGGGCCCATCCCATTGTTTTCCGAGCGAAATCCGCCCTGCGATGCCGGCGCCATGACGTGTGGTATGTGAACGCTGGCATTCTTATTCTCGTCCCAACCCCGCAGAAGAGCCTATAATCGAATCGATAGTCGGATCGGCGGTCGAAATAAGTCGGCTCGGCGGAAGTCGGCAGCCGAGTCGGGAAAAGTCGAACCGGCGGATATCGGCGAGCTAGTATGCCTCCAGGGAAACATCGAAAACCGAATCGGGATCCCGAATCGAATCGAATCGGAATCGGAAGCCATCGCAACCGACCCGAATCGAGGCGGAGGAATCGAAACGAGCCCTGACCACGTCCGACTGGACCCCTCGCTGGGATTATATCGGGCGTGTCCCCCTACAGGGGGATTTTCGATGAAAAACAAAAATACACCAAACATACCCCCCAAATAACCCAAAAATGCATCAAAAATAGTCCCCAGACGATTTTTTAATTTTGTTTTGACTATTTTTGGGGTATCTTGAATTTGTCGTCGAAGATTCCCCTGTAGGGGGACACGCCCGACCCCTCGCTTGGGCCACCCCGGCCAGAAAAATGCCCCAAACATAATAAACAAATATCCCAAAAATAGTCGCCAGACTATGTTTGGACTATTGTTGACTGTTTTTGGGGTATCTTTAATTTTTCGTCGAAAATCCCCTTGGACACGCCCGACCCCTCGCTGGGGCCACCCTGGCCTCTCGAAGCCGCGCCGCGCCCCGGCCGCGGCGACGGAAGGGCCCCGCCGTGAGCGCACAAAGGCCTCCCGCCCGTTGCTCCAGCTCCCCCCTGCTCCGACCGCCGACCCCACAGAGGCCCAGGGACACACAAATATATACACACACAAATGCCAGGACCTGCATATTTTCGCATATTTTTTGGACGTTTGTCTTCTCCCCCCCCCACTTCCCATATTTTCCCATATTTCCCAATCTCTTCACACATTTTTTTGATTTTCGTCTTCCCCCCCCACTTCCCATATTTTCCCATATCTTCCTGGGGATCGACGACTGATTGTGTCTCTGTGTGTTTCTGTCCCTCCTGAAGTCAGCCCGTGCAACAGGGGCGCACGACGCACGCCGATCGGAAGAGGTGGGCAGGAGCGCGAGGCAGGAAGGCGTTGGAGGCAGGCAGGAGCTCCGCCCGCCCCCCGAAAAGGAGGAAGCAACGCCTATCGATCATTGAGTTGAATAACAACTTCATGAAATGAGTTTGCTGGCCGTCCAGATCTCTGGCAAAAACATGTAACAATCAATTTAATGCAAGAATCGAACTAGAAAGGCGCCCGAGATGGACTGGAACCCAGGAGTTCCAGAACACCTATCTTCAACGACCGGCGCGCGACGGCGCAAGGGCCTCGGAAGGCCATGTCGATATTTCGCGGGCGGGGCGCGGCCAGCGAGGGTGGCCAAGGAGAGGCCGAAGGGGAAGGAGGCAAGGGCAACCTTGGAAAGCTGTGAGTGCACGAGATGGATGTTATTTTTTTGGGTTGGGGGGAGGGGGCAAAGTGAGGCGCTCCGCCCAGCCCAGAGCGGTGCTGAACCCTAGGCAGAGCCTCACCATTCGCGCGAAAAATGCGCCGCAATCCGCTCCTGCCGCTCGAAAGCACAATCGGAAGATAAGATCTCAACAAAAAAACCATCGCGATAACGCAATGCTGGGGGCGCCCGGCTTCGATGCGAAACTCTTGGCACTTAGAAACCATCGCAAAGAAAATGCGAGGCTGGCACGACATTCGGGTGTGGGACATTGAACAAGCTGCTTCCGCAAACTGTTCAACATATCTCAAAACGGAAACATACAAATCAATAACTTGCGATCTGACTCACTGCTGTTGGTTAAAGGCGACTCATGGGGACCCCTTCAGGGCCCCTAAAAGAAAGGCACGAGAGGTGCACCTCTCTTCAACCCCTCACTCTTCCCGCCATCCTTTCGACGTCCCTTCCCCGTGCATATTATTCGGCCTCGTGCATATTTGTTGGCTGCTCCATGATCCAGGATGCTCCTCCATGGCCATCGCCGAAAGAAAAACTCACAAATCTGGGCGATTCCAGAGGAAACCAAAAGCCACCGATACCGCGACTCCCTGGACCTCTCCTGGGGCGCGTTCTGACCATAATTTCGAAGCGAATCCAGCGGTGGCGACGAAGCCCTACCAGGAAGCCCAACAAGGCGAAAACGAGGGAAGGGTAGCGGCATGGGAACCTTTTTCCTTCTCCGACGCCCAGGTGCTCGGTGACCCAGGATGCTCCTCGAAGGCCCTCGCCGAGACAAAAGACACACGACCGAGCGATGCCGAGTTGCTCGTGCTTGCTACACTCGGCCCGTATCAGAAAGATGCGCGAGAAGGATGCAAGGGCCTTGGACGCCCACCGCGAAGCCCTTCGGGCGGGGCGCGGCCAACGAAAGTGGGCAGGGACGGACCGAGGAGGCAAGGATGCAAGGGTACCCCTGGGAAGGCTGCCCATCCTTCCTAGACTTCGGTCGGGCACATCCTCCTAGAGGCACACCTGGGACCACAACACAAAATAGAGTCAGAACAATACCCCCCGAAAAAGCCAAACATGGTCAAACATCCTCCCCTGACTATCTTTTGTTTCATGTTTTCTGAATTCGCCTCCTGTGGAGGGACAGGCCCGACATAAAACCAGACTGTGCGGGCGGGCGAAGCGGCGCGGGTGGACCGCACTGCAAAGGCAGTGCGCGCCCCCGCTCCCCGGGGAGGGCCTCCTCGCCCTGCATGCGGGTCTTCACCGTGTCCTGGGGCGGCGCGGCCGGCGCGCATCCGGGAGGGGGGGCTCGGTCGGGGACCTCCTGGCCGGGTTCAATCCAGGCCCGGGTCAATCAGGCCCTGCAGAGTCCTGCAAGCTCCTGCACCCAAGCCCGGGGTCAGTGCGAAGGGTCCTGCATGATCCTGCACCCAGGCCCGGGTCAATGCGACCCTGGCCCTGCCGCATCCTGCGAGATTTGGCGCTCTGGCTGACCCCCGTTTGCCTTGACCCCCGTCGCACGGCTCCCGACTCGGGGACGGAAGGACGACGCCGGTCCTGCGGAGGGTGCCCAGGAACACACACAAATACGCACACACAAAGATCCCAGGAGATTCCCCCCACACACAAATTCCCCCGTGCATCTTCTGGGCCTTCCTCCTCCCCCCTCCACTTCCCGTGCGTTGCCATCTTTTTCTCCGGGGCATCGACGATTCACGGTGTCTGTGCTTTTGTTGCCCCTGCTGGCTTTGGAAGGCAACTGGAGCGGAGTTCTCCGCGTCCCAGCCCCGTCCGACTGGACCCCTCGCCAAGACCACCCGAGCGTATCGGCGACGTCTGGCATGGACCGTGACTACCATGAAGGCCAGTCCACAAGAAACCTTCCGCAAGAAGCCCAACCCTGGGACCCCAGGACGTCCATTGATTTTTGGTGGTGTGGGAACGTCGCGCTTTCCACGGCAAAACAACCATCGAAAGCCAGGACACCCAGGAAAACCTGGAGGCAAGCAGGGCGCTTCTTGGCATGGCCCCCCCTGTAAGATCGGCATCGACGAGATCCCGCGAGATCTCGGTCATGGTCAGCGTGCTTCTTCCTTCGACCCCTGGCGCCCAGGCCACAACTCGGCTCTCGGGCGGCCGCTCGGGACGATCTGGGCACCCCCAGAACGCTCTCGGCGGGGCGCAGCTGCTGGAACGCACCCCGAGGCCAGAACGCCGAAAAGGACAGACGACCGCGTCCGAACACCTCGGACCTCGAACCTCCAAAACGTGACCCTCCCAACGTGTGATCCTGGAGGTCTGGACGACATCCTCTGGACCAACGTATCGATCCGGGATATTTCCTGTCGGTCCCGGGGCCCCGCGAAGGCCCCCAGCCGAACATGGCCAGAAACCGTCCGTCGTGCTGTTGCGCACGACGCGAGGCATGCATCCCCTGGGACGAACACGTCCGAAACATCCGAAAGCGTGAGCCTCGACCCCGAAGCTTACTTCCCCCCTGGCGCGGGGTCCGCCGAGGTCCTGGGGCATGGTCAGGATCACAGAGACCGCCCCGGCGACGGCCCCGGCCGCCCCGTTGTACATGGGGCTGGCGGCCAGCGACTTGTCGCCTCGGGCTGGCCAGAAGAAGCGGCAAGGCCCCGCCTGAGCAGTACATGCGGGCTGCTGCAATCAGGAGCGCTAAGTAAGGGACGAAGCCCCCCTGTGGCTTGAAAAAAGCCTGGGTGCACGAGAAGGGCTAGAGGAACAACCCCGGCAGGACGTAAGGAGCATCGAGCCCCTTCCGAACCCAGACTGTTCCTCGTTTCAGCGTGCTGGCTTGAGTGTTCCGCTACGTGCTGTCTTCGTGATCCATCACGTTCCGCCTCTGCCGCAGACCGAGATCAGAACGAGGCGGAGGCGGAGGCGGAGGAGGAGGAGGAGGAGGAGGAGGAGGAGGAGGAGGAGGAGGAGGAGGAGTGAGAGGAGGAGGAGGAGGAGGAGGAGGAGGAGGAGGAGGAGGAGGGAAGACGGCCCGTGGAATCGCCAAGGCACCGTCGGCGGGAGCCCCGTGGGGCAGGGCGAGGCGGAGCGAGCGCCGCACCCGCGCCTGCTCCGCTCGGCAGCCCGCCCGAGCCAAGCGGAGGATGGCGGGGAGACCATGGCCAGCGACTTGTCGCCTCGGGCTGGCCAGAAGAATCGGGTCGGGCGAAAGGGGGGGATAGCAAAGGGGGGGTTTGAGGATCAGCTCACGTAGCTGATTTTCCCGGCGCCTCCCGGCGCCGGAGGCGGCCATGTATCGAGGAATTGGCCCCTCGGCGAGGCCGAAACCAGCTGCACGCAGCAAATTTCGTAACCCCCCCTTTCCCAATCCCCCCTTTCGCCCGGCCCGAAAGAAGCAGACCCCGACATGCTCGCGTCGCCAGTACAAACACGACGGACCATGCCTGGCAATCCTCTCCCTCGTGGGGCCCCTGCTGGGCCCCAGGACAGCCAACAAATGCTTCGAGATGAACAAAATTGCCCAGGGGAGCCCGTCCGGACTTCCGGGTACCGCTCCTGGAAGATATCGGGACATCGCTTGCCTGGGGTGATGAGCCGATTAGCCACCACCACTATCATATTTAGGAGAGGGAGCGGGAGGAGGAGGAGGAGGAGGGAGGAGGTGGAGGAGGAGGAGGAGGAGGAGGAGGAGGATGAGGACCTCCCCCGTCCTACATATGGTGGTGGTGGTGGAGAGTGGGCCCATCATGGGGAGCGAAGCGGAGTGAACGCCGCAGTCGTTCGCCTTCTGCTAGGGCGTGCCCACCCGTGCCCGTCAGGGTATGGCGTGGAGGCTGTGGCCTCAGAGGTGTGCGGGGGAAAGGGCCGTGGCGGCCGTGCCCGGCTCGGGCATCTCGGCGGCAACTCATGGGAGTCTCCCGTACCATCTCGTCGGCACTTGCGAATCGGCGCTGCATTGGCGCTAAATCGACGCCACGTCGACGCGAAAGCGGCGCTCTCTCATCGACTCCAGACGCCAATCGACGCCGAATCTACGCTAAGGATATAGGTAAGAGGGCACACAAAGCTCCCATGGTCTGCTACCGAAGGGCATGGCGCGGAGGCCGTGGCATGGCGTGGAAATCGCGGCCACGGGCTGGCCAGAGGAGGGGCTCGAGGGAGCCCCCGAGCCGCCTCCGAGGCCGGGTGGGCCCTCGTCCCAGGGCCCCGGCTGCACTGCCTGGCCCCTGGCGGGCCTGCTCGGCTGCGCCTGTGGGACCTCCCCTGGCCCCCACGATCGGAGAAGGGCGAACTCAGACAGCGGCAACTCGAAAGAGGTTCCCGGACCCATGCCGGGATCCAGACGCACCAGTTTTCCGAGCCGCGTCCAGCCGTGGCGACGAGAGGGCACCCCGAAGGCCAACTGTCGCTGTCTCAACACGCCCTCCTCTGATACGACCTTCTTCTGATTCCATGGTTCTGGCTGCACTCTTCGGCCGGGAGGGCCTGCTTGTCTTTTTCCTGGGACGCTCTCCAGGTTGTGTTGCGTCTTCAGGGGACCTTGTCTGTCCCGTCGCGCCCCTATCCGCGCCGAATCCGTGTCGAGTCCATAGTGTACTCGTCGAATCCGCGTCAAATTCATGTCGAATCCGCGCCGAATCCACGCCGAATCCGCGTCGAGTCCGCGTCGAGCCCGCGTCGGGCAAAAGACAACAGTCCAATTTTGGAGACAGGCGAGGTCTACCGAAGACGCAACGTAAACTGGGGCGCCCCCAGGGAGGGCCCGCTTGTCTTTCTAGGTGGCCGCACGAGAACCCTATACCCCCACCCCCCACCCGCCACGATTTCGGGGAACGGGGTGGGCGGGGGTTCACTCAGCTTGGGAGCTCCCGAACGAAGTGACCCCCCAAGCCCCCCTAGAAGTCGTCGGGGGTGAAGGTAGGATCATGTTTTCTGACTACTCGCGACAACGGGCCGTCATGGGGGGTGGGAAGGGGCTTTCGCCCCCCCCCCCCCCCGAATAACACCACGGCGGGGGGCCGACGGACAAATGTGGGCAAAATAGCGTGACGTGATCGGCGGAAGGGGGGGAGGAAGGAGAGGGCCGATCACAAGGCTCTAACAGCGGCGGCTCCAACAGCGGCTCTAAGGTTTACACGTGGCCGATTGCGGAAACCCTGCACCCCAAAATGTGGTCATCTCTTGGGAGGTCGACTTCTGCTTCCGCCGGCTTCCGTCGGCGGAGGCGGCCTCGTTTTACTTCCGCCGCCTTCTGCGGCGGAAGAGAGGACAACTCCTTCGATCCTCGCAGGCAGGGCCCATTTTTTGGAACGCCTCATGTGGCCACCGAGCCACCGACTGCTTCTCGGGGGCGTCCAAGAAGGTGGCTCCGGCGCAAATCATGGCCGGCAGCAAGCACGAAGAGCCGACATGAGATCTGGGGGGATATCATGGCGGGAGCCATGATATCTCCCCGCCCCCCGCTACTCTGGGGGAGGTGGTTTCGCTTGGGGAGGCTGGGCACGTGCTGTCGGAACGGGTGGAGGGGGGTTGGAGGAGGAGGAGGAGGAGGAGGAGGAGGAGGAGGAGGAGGAAGAGGAGGTGGAGGAGGAGGAGGTGGAGGAGGAGGAGGAGTAAAAGAAAGAGACGGAGGAGGGGGGGAGATGGGCAAGCTCCGTGGGAAGGTTCGTCGCCCACCCCTCGATTCATGACACACCCACCAGCAGTCGTCACCCCCTCCTTGGCCGCCCCCGCGCTTCCTGGGGCGCCCCCCCCCGGGGTGCACCGGCAGCGGGGGAGAGAACCCCCCCCCCAACGTCGTGGCAGGCTCCGCTGGCCTGCCCCCACCGCTCCGCTCCTGGGCGGCGACGCGTGCGGGCGCCAGAAGGCCCTCCAGGGGGGCGGAGGAAGCACCCCTCGGTCGGAAGAAGTGGGTAGAAGCATGAGAGGGCAAGAGATCCACCCCCCTTAATAACCACCCCGATAAGCGAGGCCGTTCAGCAAACGCACGCGAAGAAGGAATCGAACAGGGCAGGGCTGCTTAATCAACGCCTCAAGGCCGCTTAGCAAATGCCAATTATCGGGTCTGGGTGATATTTCCTCCCTTGAAACATGAATAGAAGAAGAAACAACAGTATACACAGAAACTTGAGGCGCTCCGCGCGGATTTCTCGGATCTGCGCTGACCAACCCTCCCTGGCGCGCGGAGCGCGCCACGGGCGGCGCCTCCAGGGCCGCCAAGGCCCCAGCGCGGATCCAAGAAATCCGCGCGGAGCGCCAAAGTTTATGTTTACGCCGTTGTTTTTCTCCTCGAATGAAGCAGGAGGGCGTTGGAAGTAGAGGTAGGTCGGGCGTGTCCCCCCCCCACCCCACAGGCAGATTTGGGAAGAACAATAACACATAGTCAAACACATGCTCAAAAATTGCCAAACAGATAGTCGACAAGTCGTCCCCCGACAATTTGATTGACTATGTTTGAATATCCTCCTGTAGAGGGGCACGCCCGACTTGAAAGTAGAGTGGGCGTCCGCCCGCCCGCCAAAGGGGCAGGGGCGAGGGAAGACCGCTCGACTCGGTCCGAGGGAAGACCGCTGTGCTCCTCCTCCTCCTCCTCCTCCTCCTCCTCCTCCTCCTCCCTCCCTCCCTCCCTCCCTCCCTCCCTCCCTCCCTCCCCTCCTCTTCCTCCTCCACCTCCTCCTCCTCCTCCTGCAGAGTCTGGGGATGTGCGCGGCAAGGCCGCGAGGGCCTTGGGAAAGGCCACGTCCACACTCCGCGAGCGGGGCGCGGCCAGCGACGGCGGCCAAGGACGGGCCGAAGGGGAATGATACAATGAACGGGCGAATAGCGGTATACGATACACTTCTTCGCTGTCGGGGGCGCCTGTCCCAGGGCGGCTGGAAAGCTAAACCCTCACGTTGGCGCGTCAAGGTAAAACTTTCCAGCCGCCCTGGGGCAGCGCCCCCGGCGACGGAGAAGACAATGTCATACCGCTCCTCGCCTGCTAATGCAAGGGCAACCTTGGAAAATCGTTCATCCCTACTGTGCGGGCTGAGTGTAAAAGAGCGGCTGCAGCAAATTGGGATCTGGGCATCCAGAAATACCTACACCGACCGGCGTGTACTAGGACGCCAGCACAGGAAACAACTGCTGGGAGGTCTTCGTAAAAACGACTACGGCAAGTTCGTGCGGCGTCGGCGCGCGCATAGGTTTTTGACACCGCACCGATCGTTCAACATTGAATCGTTCACGGCCCCGATCGTTCAAGGTTGAATTCCGTCGGGTCGTGTGGATGCGTGGATGTATGTGTATGCATGTATGTATACATGACTCTATGTATGGATGTGTGTCTGAATATATGCATGCTTGTACATACGAACGTATGTTCATGTACAGTTGTATGAATGTAGGTATGTATGTATGTGTATATACATGTATTGTATGAATGTATGGATGTAAGAATGTATGTGTGTGAACGTATGTATGTATGTCTGTAAGTATGTAAGTATGTATGTGTGCATGCATGCATGCATACATGTATGTATATATGTGTGTGTATGTATGCATGTATGTATGTATGTATATGTATAGGTATATATGTATGTATGTATGTCTGCATGTATGTATGTATGGATGGCTGTATGGATAAATGCGTGTATGTATGGATGGATGTGTGTATGCATGTATGTATGTGTATGTATGTATGTATGTATGTATGGATGTGTGTATGTGTTCATGAATGTATACATGTATGTATGTATGTATGTATGTGTGTATGCATGTATGTATGTATGTATGTATGTATGCGTGTATGCATTAATACATGTATGTGTGTATGCATGCATGCATGTGTGCATGTGTGTATGTATGTATGTATGTATGTATGTATGTATGTGTGTATGTATGTATGTATGTGTGTATGTGCGTATGTATGTATGTATACATGCATGCATGCATGCATGCATGGGTGTGGGTATGTATGTATGTATGTATGTATGTATGTATGGATGGTTAGGTGTATGTATGTATGCGTGTGTGCATGTGTGTGTGCGCATACATATATGTATGTATGTAAGGAGGTATGTATGTATGGATGTATGTGTGCATCTGTGCACGTATGTATGCATGCATGCATGCATGGATGTATGTGTGTACGTGTGTATGCAAGTGTGTGTACATGTATGCATGCATATATGTATGCGTGTATGCATGTGATGTAAGCACTTCTCCTACACCGTAGATAATGTAAGCTCTGAAATGTAAGCTATGTGGTGCAAGCTGTCTGATGCAAGCTATGTGGTGTATTAGCTGTGTTGTGCGATGTGGTGTAAAAACGAACCGTCACAATGTCCCACTCGCAAGTTGAGGAGTGGTAGAGTGCAACATGCTGTCTTGTAGGGTTTGTGGAATTGATATTATACGCCACCCCTCCTGATCACACTCAGGGACGTGCATCCGCCACCCTGTCGTACGCAAACAGCAAAGGCTCCGCGCACCCAAGACCAAGATCCTTCAAACAAACACGTGGACGGCCCAGGTGGCCCCAAGGCTTCCAAGTTTGTCATGTGAGGGACCACCTTGCCATTTCAGCTTGCACCCAGAGCCCAACACTGCCACCAAGCTCTGGCGATCCGTTCTGTAGGGGCCAAGGAGGCTGTCAGAGCGGAGGGGAACAGGAGGAGAGCTCGAGATGGCTTGGAGGAGGAAGAGAGGAGGGAAAGGACAACGGCGCTGGAAGGCCTCCTGTCATCCACTGCATGAAGAAGTGCTGCGTGGGGAACCGGACCGCCTGGTTCGTAGCCTGCTTCATGATGGTCGGAACTAAGCCCCTGTTGGGCACTCGCCGAGTCGATCGCGTGACGGCCCCAATTCTGCACCGACGACAGAGCGACGAGGAAAATCAGGCAACCCGACGCGGCAGCGAAGGGAACAGGCAGACGCGAGAGTGAAGGCCCGATGTGGACGCGGGCCGAAGCCCCGGATACCTCCGACGCCAGCTCGGACGCGAACGCTTACCCCTACGCCCGCCCCAATGCGAGGGCCGATGATGACGACGAGGATACGTAAGGCGGACGATCGGATTTCCCCTTGCTCCTCCTGCCCCCCCTCCTCCTCCTCCTCCTCCTCCTCCTCCTCCTCCTCCTCCTCCTCCTCCTCCTCCTCCTCCTCATCCTCCCCCTCTTCCTCGCTCTCTTCCCCACGAGGCGGGGGTGAGGGGAACGAGGTCCAAAGCGTCCTGGAGAATGCCTGCGCCAATGCTGCAGATTATAGCAATGAGGGGCCCAGGAGGCGGGGGAGGGGAGAGTCTTCTGACACCAGTCAATCCTTTAACAAGGGATATGTCGACCCCCAGGCTTCATGGGGTTTTCGAATGGACCAGAAGTCTGGGGCCCAACCCTGGGATATGCGATGGGGGGTCATTTATCCTCAATAGGGGTGCGTGCGAATAGCCCCATGGGGTGCAGCCCAGATATTCCCCGCTTTTCTGAGCGGCCAAACTTTTCGGGTGGAACTCGGAGATTGGGGGACAACAACCGCCTGCGATCCTTGGCTGCTGGTCTGGAGCCGGTGCCGCACAGGACAGGCATGAGCACGCCCAGCATGCTGACGACCAGCTATGACATTCCCCTGACTCCAATTTTGCCTTGCCCTGGATCCCGCATTCGATATTCCCTGGCTCCCCACTTCCTTACAACATCCCTCATGCCCTGGTACGGAGACCAAAAGAGGTACCGATACCGCTACTCCCCAAACGTCTCCGGGAAATGCGCTCTGACCAGGTGTGGTGTCGTTGTTTGTTACGGTGCCGTGATTTCGGGGCATGCGGGATACTGTAAGGAAGTGGGGGGCAGGGGATCAGAGGAGGAAAAGGTACCCATACCGCCACCCTGAGCTCGCTCTCGCCTTTTCGGGCCTCCTTGGAGGCCCTCGTCGCCACAGCTGGATTCGCCTCGAAATCCTGGTCAGAACGCACCCTGGGAGACGTCTGGGGAGTAGCGGCATCGGTACCTCTTTTGGCTTCCCTACCAGGGCATGAGGGATGTTGTAAGGAAGTGGGGAGCAGGGGAATATCGGAAGCGGGACCCAGGGCAAGGCAAACTTGGAGTCACTGGCATGTCATAGCTGTTCGTCAGGATGCTGGGCGTGCTCATGCCTGTCCTGTGCCCCAATCCCCGGCTGTTGTCCCCCAATCCCCGAGTTCCGCCCGAAAAGTTTGGCCGCTCAGAAAAGCGGAGAACATCTGGGCTGCACCCCATGGGGGCTATTCGCACGCACCCCTATCGAGGATGGGTAACGCCCCATCGCATATCCCAGGGTTGGGCCCCAAACTTCTGGTCCATTCGAAAACCCCATGAAGCCTGGGATACGGGTCGACATATCCCTTGTTAAAGGATTGACTGGTGTCAGAAGACCCTCCCCTCCCCCTCTTCCTGGCCCCTCATTGCTGCACTCTGCGGCATCAGCGCAGGCATTCTCCAGGACGCTTTGGACCTCGTTCCCCTCCCCACCGCCTCGTCAGGAAGAGAGCGAGGATGAGGAGTAGGAGTAGGAGGAGGAGGGGGCAGGAGGAGGAGGGGGGACAAGAGGAGGAGGAGGAGGAGGAGGAGGAGGAGGAAAAGAAGGAGGAGGAGGAGGAGGAGGGGGAGGAGGAGGAGAGGAGGAGGGGGAGGAGGGAGGAGGAGGAGGAGGAGGAGGAGTAGGGAAAGGAGGATGAGGAGGAGGAGGAGGAAAGAAGGAGGAGGAGGAGGGAAAGGAGGATGAGGAGGAGGAGGAGGAGGAGGGGGAGGAGGCGGGGGGGCAGGAGGAAGGGGAGATCGAAGGCAGATTGGAGTGAGTGGCATGTCATAGCTGCTCGTCAGCTTGTCCCGCGGCACCTCCCGAGCTGGCTCGAGCCGTGGACGTGCCCCGCGCGTGATTCTTGCCGGCGCGAGGCCAAGATCTGCGGCGGACGATGGTGCGAGGCGCGCTCCTCCACCTCCTCCTCCTACTTGTGTTTCTTCTGATCATGCGGATTATTCGTATCCATCTTGTTCATGCTCGTCTTCTTCGTACTCTTACGATTTGTAAACTACTAGAACCACGAGTGCGTTATCAATAGTCTGACTGTTCGTGGTAGCGTCACTATGCTGACCAATCTTATTTTGCGTATGATTAGGCACGCGCGTGCTTATAACTAGTATTACTACTTTACTAGTAACATCATTATGCTCCATCTTGCTAATACAAGTTCTATGATCCGTATCCTTAGTATTAACACTATCGCTATCGGCTTATGAATGTATGCACTTACTTTTCTAAACTATGATAAATCGTACTAGTAGTGTTCCGAGTAGTCGTCGTATTACTTACTACTATTCTTAATATCACTATTGTTCCTCCCTTTCTCCTCCTCCTCCTCCTCAGCCTCCTCCCCTCCTCCTCCTCCTCCTCCTCCGCCTCCACCTCCTCCTCCTTCTCCTCCTCCCTTTCTCCTCCTCCTCCTCGTCGTCCTCCGCATCTTCCTCCTCCAGATGGGACCCAACAAATCTGCCAGGAGGGAGGATGAGGCCAAATCCATTCGAAATCGTCCCCTACCCACCCCCGGCTCTGACTGCAACAGGATGTCTGATGTCCTCGAAGCAGTAAAGAAGAAAAACACTATAGTTGAAAGAAGGCGCCGACAAGCGCATACTTGCCGAGAAGATACAGAACATGCAATCACTTGTTGTCGCTGATGCACAAAATGCAATCAAATCATTGTTGCTGCTGGCGGCCGGAATCGGCGGCTGCAAACCACGCGGCGTGCCACGGCCGGAAGACCGCCAGTTTGTAGTTGAGCACCCGGTACGCCAAAGTGCAGAGTTGAGGGCGGTGGTGGTCGTGCCAACCATGCAGCATGAAAGCGCTCCGTTCGGCCTGAGAGAGGTCGGCCGGGAGTGGTACAGGTAAATGGAGCCCGTGCGCTCGACGAAGCGGCTCCGTGGTCGGATATTCGAAATTGGTCCCCAGCGTGAGGCCCCTCCCGGTGTCCAACTGGAACCATTTCTCACTCCGAATCCGTGTCTGACTGTCCTGGGGCCCGAACCCGGCCCCCAGAGTCCGAAAAAGGCCAAAACCCCCCCGCGCCCAGAACCTGTTCGCAAGAACATGCTCGAGGCAAAAAACCTCCCCGAGCCCAGCAACTCCTCGAACCTGTCTGAAGGGGCCCCAGGACACACATAGAAATACACACAAATAACAGGATTCCCCATATTTTCACATATGTTCTGGGTGTTTGTCTTCCCCCCCCTTCCCATATTTTCCTGCGAATCGACGATTCATTGTGTCTGTGTTTTTTCCCCTCCTGACTGTCCCCCCTCCCTCCCTCATTTCCTGCTCGGCAAGAACCGGTGCTGGGCCACCTCTGACCCCCAGCCGGCTCCAGGGCGAAGAGCTTCGGGGACGTACTGGCTCGGGCCAGTGCAAGGCCAGTCAGGCCTTGCAGGATCCTGCAGTGTGTCACGCACGATCCTGCGCGCTAGCCCGGCCTGCGCGCTGACCCAGGTCAGTGCACCCCTGGCCCTGCATGATCCTGCAAGATTCGGCACTCTGGCTAACCCCCGTTTGCATGGGCCCCCGTCTCGAGGCTCCCGAGGGCGACCTTTCTGTTACGGGTAACGGTCGTCACCGGGGGGGGGTCGTGCGAGAGGGTTACGGTAACGGCGGCCGCGGCGTGCACCCGCCAGGGTGCGTCCGCGCCACCCGCGCACCAATCGCCTGTGCACCACTGCACGTAGGAGGGGGTTCCAGGCCACCCGCACCCAGTAATGACGATCGTTAGTGGAGGCCAGAAACCTTCCACAAGACACCCACCCCTGAGACCCCAGGACGTCCACTGGTTTTTGGTGTGGGAGCGTCGCGTTTTCCATCGCAAAATCATCGAAACCCAAGAAACCCAGGGCACCCTGGAGGCAAGCAGGGTGTTTCTTGACAGGGGCCCCCACTGTAACCGAGATTGCGGGGGGTTTGGCCAAGGTAACGAGCGTCCCTGAGGGAAAAACGCTCACAAGGCTCCGCCGTCGGGACGCCCTGACACGGGTCGATCCAAACCAGACCCGGGCCAGTCGGGCTTTGCAAGATCCTGCAAGAACCTACAGGAACCTGCAGGATCCTGCACGCAAGCCCGGGTTAGTACAACCCTGGCCGTCCAGAATCCTGCAAGATCCGGCGCTCTGGCTGACCATGTTTGCATTGACCCCCGTCCCTTGAGCCCCGAACATAGAACCTCCCAGATGGGGTCGGAGTAGATGGGGTCGGGAGATCGTCCCGCATCGCCGATACGCGGGCGATGCATCGGCGATGCACTGGCGATGCATCGTCGACGTGGAATGCATCGGCGACGTCGGCATCCGATGCATCGGCGATGCGGCGCGATCCTCTGGCCCCATCTGGGAGGCCTAGAATCCCTTGAACCCCGAACAGGTCGGTGACTCCGAAGGGTGTGGTTTGCAAAGGGTGTGGCTTGCAACCGGCTCCCTGGGGGGCACCCTGGGGGGGCGGGCGAGGATCTCGACAGAGCTCTCCGCCGCGCCCCGAGGAGCCCCGACGAGGACGGTGTCTTGCCCGACAGGCCCCGATGGTGCCGATCGCAAGCCACACCCCCGGCGCGACCATATCTGTTGTCGTCGCCGAGCAGGGCTCTCCTGTAAAGTCCGCCCGGGCCCTCGCTCTTCATGATCTTCACCAGGGCGTCGAAGGAGCCCGAGTAGTTCCCGGTGCCGCGCCGCCTATACCGGGGCAGGCGGCGCGCGCTGGGGGGGGGGAGGGGCCGGCCTGTGGTCGGGCCCGTGCTGCTGCAGGCGGAGTTTGGAAGGACAGCGCAGCAGATGGTCCAAGAGTGCTGGAGCATAGCCACACGGGCACGACAAGTCGCCCCCAGACCATGGCTCTACCATTCCCGAAGATGTGTGTTTTCGAATCCTGAGTTTTTGCATATAACAGGCGTAATCGGGAGAGGGCGGGGGAGTTCGCCCCCCCCCGATGACATCCCGGCGGGGGGTCGCCGAAGACCCGAGGAAAACTCCTCGAAAAATCTGTCTTTGTGGATGTGGGCAGGGTTGCGTGACGTGATCCTCCTCCTCCTCCTCCTCCTCCACCTCCTCCTCCTCCTCCTCCTCCTCCTCCCCAAAAGGGGGGGGCAGAAGAGGGCCGATCACGGCCGTTATCACGCAGACGCCCCGCAAGAAAATAAGCCCTTGGCGCGCGGATTCAGGGGGGCGCGGGGAGGCAGAAATCGAACGCGCGAGCCGCTGCTATCGCATCCCGTTCTGCGAGCGGGGAGCACGCGGGCGAAAGGCCACTGCGGCGAAGGGTCGCTCTGACGTGCCGTCGATGGGAGTGGGGCCACAACGTCAGTGTAATATAGGCAAGATTGCGACTACCTGCCAGACCACCCCAACCTCTCCAGGAGACCCACATTTCGGCGAAGGGTCACTCTGACGTACCGTCGATGGGAGTGAGGCCACAATGAGAGTGTCATATAAAGAAGATTACGATCACCTACCAACCCACCCCAACCAAACCCGAAGACCCAGGTTTCGGCGAAGGGTCACTCTGACGTGCCGTCGATGGGAGTGGGGCCACAATGACATGTCATGGAAACAATACTACCAGACCACCCCAACCTAAATTTCGGGTGGGGTGGGTACGTGTTCCACATGTGTTGTTCAATGTTATCCGACCCCCCACACTGGCATTGGAGGGCAGACTGAGGTCTCCGGGATGGGCTGGGGTGGTTTGGTGGGTGGTGAGGTCAGGAGCTTACTGGCCGTCTTCACGTCCAGAGCCCACGACGCTTCCTGGAAACCTCATCTGGACGGCAAGCTTTTGTGCGGAGCGCAGAGGGCAGGCCCGGGGCCTGGGGGAGGGGAGGGGGGCGGGGGGGGGAAGACACGATCAGTCGGCGCCAAAAGCCGGGGAACCGGCTCGCGTCCGAACGCGTGCCCGCTCGGGCCGCAAAAGTCCGCGGCAGCACGGGCGCACGCCCCGCACCTCCCGCGTGTTTCGGCCGGCGTGCAGCAGGAGCTCGACCACAAGGAACCTTCGCAAGAAACCCAACCCTGAGACCCCAGGACATTCATTGATTTTTGGTGGGGACGTCACGTTTTCCATGGCAAAACCATCGAGACCCAAGAAACCCAAGGCACCCTGGAGGCAAGCAAGGTGTTTCGTGGCATGGGTTCCCACTGTAAGTCAGATGCCCATCCTGGGGACCTTTTTGGAGCCAATCGCTCCGCTCGTGCGTCGAAGCTGCGTCGACCGTCCGTGAACCCGAGCCGCACCTGAGTCCAACCTGAGTCGAACCTCAGCGGAACTGGAGTCGAACTGGAGTCGAACTGGATTCGAACATGGGGAAGTCAAAAGGTACCGATACCGATACTCCCCAGACCTCTCCCAAGGTGCGTTCTGAACATGATTTCGAGGCGAATCCAGCGGTGGCAACGAGCACCTCCCAGGAGGCCCCAAAAAAGGGAAACCGGCCGAAGGGTAGCGGTAGGGGGACCTCTTCCTCCTCTGAGAACAGCTCCACCAGATGTGCCACAAGAATTAGAAAGCAGACCATCCACTCCGCTACTAACCACCCCGACGCGCGAAGCCGTTTAGTAAGCGCACCCACAGGAAGGAATCAAGCAGGGCAAAATTCTTTAGTAATTGCACAGGGCCGTTAACAAAAACGCCGATTGTCCGGTCCGGGTGGTTTTTCCTCCCTTGACGCAAGGAAGATCTTGCCACAGAGCGGAGGAGGAGGAGGAGGAGGAGGAGAAGCAGGAGGAGGAGGAGGCGGAGGAGGAGGACCCCCTCCCCCTCCAATTTAGGGTGGTGGTGGAAAATAGGCCCATCGTGAGAACAGATCCGCTGGGCGTGCCCCAAGAAGGTCACCAACACGAGCGTCGTCGTCGGTTCGTCGTCATTAACTCCTTCGTCGGTCGTCGTCGTAATTATCCCGCTCGTCGACCGTTGGTCGTCCGTTGTCGTCGTCATCGTCCATTTCAACAGCAATAGCATCAAGAGCGCCCCGGATCGGCGGCACTGGCCGGAGGCCACTACAATAAGCCCATCGTTTGGAGGTCGCTTGGGGGGCAGCGTTGTTTCCAGGGCCAGATCCCAGTACGCTCAGCCAGCGCGCTTGATCCGTCAATAACAATTCTTACGACACCCATTCGAGACAAGTTCGGACCTGAGGTTCACTCTTACCAACAATTGGGCTGCTTAGGTTTGCCCTTACCCTACGAGCATTGCCTCCTCCCCCGTCGCCCCAGAAGCAAAGATCGCGTTCGCTGCCCCTCAGCGAGCTGAAACCCATCGTGAGAACATATTCGCGAGTAAACGCACCCACAGGAAGGAACCAAGCAGGGCAGGGTTCTTTCATAGACGCCCAGGGCCGTTAACAAAGACGCCGATTGTCCAGTCCGGGTGGTTTTTCCTCCTTTGACGCAAGGAAGATCTTGCCACAGAGCGGAGGAGGAGGAGGAGAAGCAGGAGGAGGAGGATGAGGAGTACCCCCTTCCCATCTCACTTATGGTGATGGTGGTGGAACATAGGCCCATCACGAGAACAGATTCGCTGGGTGTGCCCCGAGAGGGTCCCCGGCACGCGCACCGAGCTCGAGGGGCCGCGCGCGCCTGTCGTCCGTGATGCGCGTCTTCAGCGTCTCGATGGGCGTCACGGCCAGGAGGGCCTGCCGAGCGCCCGCCGCCAGGAGGGGGGGCGGGCAGGAGCCGCCAGCTTCAAGCGAGGCAGGTCCCTCCACGGGAGGAAGATCCAAAACTAGTCGAGAAGTGGTCCGGGGACGAGGTTCGGGGTATGTTTTCGACTGTGTTGGATCATGGTTGGAGTGTCTTTCGTTCTTTGTCCAAAATCCGCCTGCAGGGGGACATGCCCGACCGAAAGCCAGCAGATCGAAGGGATCTTCGGCTCGGGTCGGAGCGTTTGGTGGCAACTCGTGGGAGCCTCCCAGACGTACCATCTTGTCGGCTCTTGCGAATCGACGCTAGTCGACGCTGAGTCCACGCTAATCGACGCTAAATCGACGCTAAATCGGCGCTATCGCATCCACTCCCAAATGCTAATTGACGGCAGTCGACGCAAAGACGGAATTGAGAGGGTGTACCAGGCTCCCACAATTCGCTACCGACGGAACGGGTATCGAATCGCATCGCATCGGCTCGGAATCGGAATCGAATGGAAATGGCGGCGCCAAGATGCATAACACGGCCATGCATGGGGAAACCAATAGGTACCGATACCGCTACTCCCTGGCCCTCTCCCCGAGTGCGTTCTGTCAAAAATTGTGAGGCGAATCCAGCGGTGGCGACGAGGGCCTCCTAGGAAGCCCGAAAAGGGGAAGACGATGCAAGGTTTACAGGTGCCCAAGATGGTCCCAAGACGGCCCGAGAGGTCCCCAAGATGCCCCCAAGAGCGCCCCAGCACCCACAAGAGTGGCCCAAGAGGCCAGCATCTGCTGTGTTCTTTAGGTGTTTGATGGATGTTGGCACGCTCGCCTTTTCGGGCTTCCAACGCTCCAAGACAGCCCAAGAGGCCACCCCAAACCGCCCCAAGACGGCCCAAAGGTCTCTCAAGAGCGCTCCAATACGCTTTAAGAGAGCCCCAAGACGGCCCAAGAGACCCCCAAGATGGTCCAAGAAGGCCCCAAGACTGCCGTAAAAGTGACCCGAGACGGGGGACCCGAACCCAAGTGGCCCCCGTTCGGAGTTCCGACGCTGCTCAACGACGGCGCCCAGGCCTCACCACATAGCTCCTGCCTACCCCCTTCTCCGAGAGAGGGGGCTGGCGGCAGGGGGGAAAACCCTCGCGGATATGCGACTGCATCGAGCGAAAAAGGACACAGCGATGTGTAGGAAAACGCGAACCACGCGTTTCTACGATTGGTTTGGCCACGAAGAACGTTTCCCTACAAGTGGTTGTCCTACATCGCCGTTAACTAAGACACGGTCGGCGCGTCTACGGGTACCATAGAAACAAGGAAAGGCGACACCAACACAACCAGGGCGAAGAGATGTGAGGAGGCAGAAGGAGTCTCTCTGGTGGTGTGGTCCCCCCTTCTCGTTCGAGACATCCCCAGCCTCCAGCTCGGGGAGGCATGGTGGACCTCCTCGCTGGAAGTGCCCCCCTGGTGGTGTTGGTATCGCCTCTCCTCCCTCCGATACTACACGGCATCAACAAAAACGCATGCGCCCCCCGAGCGCCACCCCCGAAACTTCGGCCCTGCATGCTCCTGGTGCGAACCTCCCCGCACGGTGATGGCACGAGCGCCACCGCGGGAGGCCCCAGCAGCAGGGGGCCTCTCGTGCGCGCAGGCTCTTACATTGGCAGTGGTTGTGGTTTCATCCCCTTCTCCTTCACCCTTGGTTGACCAAAACATAAGCCCTAACCCTTTGGGAGGGGACCGACGTTAGAAGGGTCATAAACATTCGGGATAAGGGGGTCTTTTCTCTGGGTGTATCAGACCAAACAGCCCATCATTGTTATCCATATTGCTACGACGGGGACCTCAGTGAGGCCACGTCTTCATCGTGGTATTCGCCACGTGCTTAATGGGATTGTGGTGTTTCTTCCTTCCCGCGTCGCACCCGCGTCTCCACCTCACACCTCCTCCTCCTCCTCCTTCTCAAACAGCACAGCGAAGCACAGCGCAGCGCAGCGCAGCTCAGCACGCAGCACATCGACACACAGCGCGTACACAGCACAACACAGCACAGCTCAGCACTTCACAGCACCTCAGCACAGCACAACACAGCATAAACCAGCTCAGCACAGCACAGCACAGCTCAGCTCATCACAGCAAATCTCAGCACAGCACAGCACTGACTGCACAACACAGCGCAACACAACAACCACACACACACACACACACGAACGCAAACACATGACACGCACACCACGCAACACATGCGCGCCAACAGGAGGTGCGCAGAGGGTGGTCGCTGAGCGCGGCCGCTATCCGTGACGGTCGTCCAAGGCATACCAAGCGTGGCACATTCTCGACACCACAAGGGGTGCGCACGGGGTGGTCCCTGAGGGCGGCCGCTATCCGTGACGGCCGTCCAGGGCACAGCAGGCGTGGCGTTTTCTCGACACCACAGGGGGTGCGCACGGGGTGGTCACTGACCGCGGCCGCTATCCGTGACGGTCGTCCAAGGCATACCAAGCGTGGCACATTCTCGACACCACAAGGGGTGCGCACGGGGTGGTCCCTGAGCGCGGCCGCTATCCGTGACGGTCCTTGCCCTTGCAAGCGTGGCATATTCTCGACACCACAGGGGGTGCGCACGGGGTGGTCACTGACCGCGGCCGCTATCCGTGACGGTCGTCCAGGGCATACCAAGCGTGGCGTTTTCTGGACACCACAGGGGGTGCGCAGGGGGTGCTCCCTGACGGCGGCCGCTATGCGTGACGGCCGTCCAGGGCACAGCAGGCGTGGCGTTTCGTCGACACCACAAGGGGGGCGCGCATGGGGATGGTCCCTGATCGCGGCCTCTATCCGTGACGGTGGTGTTCAGGACACATCGGTACGCAAGCTTGCTATCCGTGACGGTCGTGCTCAGGGCACGGGGGACGCAGGCGAGGTGAGTGGTATCATCACCAGAACTGTTTAGCCACCTTGGCTCACGCCACCTCGCACGCGCAGGCTTTCACTCCGCAGCGGTCTCAGGCAGTTCTGTTGGCTACCTCTGTTCGGTGCACTGGTACGCCTCGAATTGTGTCCCCGGACCCGGCGGAGACCGACTACCGTTGGTCGCAACGTCCATGGTCGCGGGAATTGCGAGAATCACTCCAGCTCGAGAACCTGTCGTCACAAGCGGATTCAGAGGCAGTCAAATGGTACACTGAATTCGCGGCCACGCGAGCAGCTGACCCGGAGCACTGGCCTTCGAGACGGGGCGGTGATGCAGCCATGCGGCAGGCGCTTTACAGGTACGGGGAGGTGAGCGATGCCGCCCCCTGGCGAGGGACGTTTCGAGCCGCCGCGGAGCACCATGGCACTCTCCTCCCTCCTCTCCTCTTGACTGGCGTCACCGACGGCATCGGCGGGGCAACGGCCACCAACATCATTCTCACATGCTTCACTTCAGCTATCATCACTCCAGCCATCATATAAGCATGTGGAGTTCCTCGGTAGCGTAATTCGGGTCAGGGGTTCTTTTGTGGTCGATGAGCCCTGGCCTCCTCCTCCCCCTCCTTCCTTCCCCCGCTCTCCCCCAGCAGGCTTGCGTGCGCAACCTCTGATTTCCCGATGCGCCGTTTGAGCGCCGGGCTTGGTTGACTCAGATATCAATGTACCCCAAATCCCTTCTTAATCGACCCCCCCTAAAAACCAGACCCCCCTCAAAATTCGACATAATATTCTGGACCCCCCTCTTCGACGGGTCGCTTTCATAAACTGGACCCCCTTGAGTTCAATCCAAAGAAAGATACCCAATAAACCGGACCCTCCCGATTACCAAAAAGGCGCCTTAAAAAACCGGAGCCGGGGGGAGATGAATAAGGGAGTTGATCTACGTACAGAAATAAACACAAACATGCACAAATTCGCGCGGGATGCGTGCATTTCCGTGTGCGCATCCACCGCCTGCCCCGGTCCCCGAAGAGCAGTCCCCCGGGTGGCGGATATGGTTCAGGCCCCGCGTCGGCCGAAGGCCACGACGGCGAGGTGGCGCGCTGCGACACGCTGGGGGACCATTGGCGGCGCGCACAAGGGGGTGGAAGGAGGGGGGAGGGCTTCTTAGGAGGAGGCTGCTTCTTAGAAGGCGCCGGCCTTACATCTATAGAGAAGGCCCGTGGCTTCTAAGAAGCAGGGGTGCTTCTAAGAAGCCCTCCCCCCTCCCCCCACCCCCCTCTGCGCGTGGCTGGGAGGTGGCATGTTGCGACACGCTGGGGGGCCAGCCCGCGCGAGAACTGCCTGCGGCGGTGCCACGATAGGGTGGCTCGGCGGGCGTCGCGTGGCCTCGGGCCGCGCAGCGTTCGCCTGGGGAGCCGGGCGCCGCTGCCGTCGCAGTGGTGCGGAATAGAGGGGAGGAGGCAGGAGAAGGAGGGAGGAGGAGGAGGAAGAGGAGGAGGAGGAGGAGAAGGACGAGGAGGAGGAGGAGGAGGAGGAGGAGGAGGAGGGAGGAGGAGGAGGAGGAGGAGAAGGACGAGGAGGAGGAGGGAGGAGGAGGAGGACGAGGAGGAGGAAAAGACGGCCGCACATTCCTGGCGAGGCCCGCGCGCCCCCGCTGCAGCCTCCGTCACGCCGCCGCAGGCGCCCGCCAGCATCCTGCCGCCGAGGGGCAACGGGCAAGAGCGAACCGGCATCGGATCGGCGAGCCGAACCGAAGTACAATGGAGGCCCGACCACAAGAAACCTTCCACAAGAAACCCAACCCTGAGACCCCAAGGCATCCATCGAGTCGTGGTGTGGGAACGTCACGCATTCCACAACAAAACCATCGAACCCCCGAAAAACCAGGGCACCCTGGAGGCCAGCACAGTGTTTCTTGGCAGGGGCCCCCACAGTACGCGTCGGATCGGCTCGCAGGGATACGACATCGGGATCGAATCGGACCAGTCGCGCCAGGGTTTCGCCGGATCGTACAGACGCAAGCGAGACCCAAGACAGCACAAGGGCGCTCCGGGAGGAACCTCGATGGGCTGAAGACTTCCCAAGAGGCCCCCAAGACGTCCCAAGAGGCCGCTAAGACAGCCCCGATGTAAGAGAAACAAGAAAAAACGCCCCATTCCCTTAGGTATCCGCTTTGTCTTCGCAACGACCAAGACGGCCCTATGGGCCCCCGACATCCTCCCAAAACAGCCCAAGAGACCCCGAAGAGGGTTAGAAGACGACCCAGGAAGGCCCCAATAATGCCCCAGAAAGCCCCGAGACTGCCCACAAGAAGCCCCAAATGCCCGCAGAAAGCTCCCAAGAGGGACCCACGAAAGACATGGGGTACCCCTAAGAAGGCCACTGGAGGCCCCCAAGGGGGCCGCGAATGGCTTCAGAAGACCTCTGGAGGGCCCCAGCCCCTCAAATCGGCCCAAGAGGGCCCCAGGACGGCCCAAGAGGGCAGGACGGCCCAAACGAGCTCCAAAAACGCACAGACGGTGATTTCCTACCGGGTACATCGAGCTGGCCCGACGATCTGGTTCCACGCTTGAGCCTCGAGGTCTCAATTCCTCGATCGAGAGAGACAGGCAATGGTTCGAGATTCGAAATTCGACGATCGAAGATGCCCTGAGCGCCTGGAGCCCCCATGGCGTTCAAGGAGCGACCAAACATCGATTTGTTCGGAGCTACTGCGGCTTCTCCGGCGTGTCATGGGGACGCTTCTTACTTCCTCCAAGGACCTTCGCGCGTGAAAAATCATTATTCCTTCCCCGCTCCCGCGCACAAGCTTGCAAGCACATCGGGCGACCGCGGTGTCAGCAGGCACCAAGGATATCAGAACAATGACACGGCCGCCCGCCCAGGCCTCGAGTTCCCCCTGCTGAAACAAGCGATGAATTATTGTTTTGCCGGGGAAACGTCCTCTCTATTTCTCTTTCTCTCCCTCTCTCTTCCAGCCGCGGGCTCGAGAAGGCCCCTCCCTTCACAGCGCAGCCCCCGGCCCCTTGCCCCCAGGCCGCCGCCGTAGCGGCCATATGGTGCGGTTGTTGAGACAACGGCGCTCCCCTGCCGTGGGCGACAGTTGGCGATGGACAAGGGGCCCACATCTGCATGTATGTCAGTTTGTGTGCACAGTGGAAGCAAGTCCATCAGAAGCCGTCCACAAGAAGCCCAACCCTGAGACACCAGGCCGTCCGCAGTTTTTTGGTGTGGGAACGTCACACGCTTTCCACAGCAAAACCATCGAAACCCAAAACACCCATGGCAACCTGGAGGCAAGCAGGGTGTTTCTTGGCCTGGGCTCCCACTGTATAGTTCAATGTGTATTATTTCTGCTTGGCGTCCGCCTGCGCACACAGCGCGCCGCCCAACGGGCGCGCGTCGGTTGCGCTTCGCCACCGAAGCCAGGCTCCGAGCTCACACGTCCTGCGCTGCGTCTTCGAACTGTCCATCACGGGAACTATCGTCATCGAGCTCCCGCTCTTGAAGATCAATTTCTTCCTGATCCCCCTCTGGGCGCGATCCTCCGGATCACCTGGTTGATCTATACGAAGACCTTCCATCGCACGAGATCCACGCAATCCGTGCCGACGTTCGCGGCGTCCGCTGGCGATCTCCATACCTTTGGCGCCGAACTCCTGCGCCCACCCGACGACCAGGGTGACCTTCACCCGCTTCGCGGCGTTCCCCATGGGGACCTTCAGGATCACCGTGGTCACATAGCTGGAGCTGGTCACATACCTGGAGCCCCACGTGACTTTCGCGGCGTCTTCAGTGCCGAAGCCTCACCACCCACCGAGCAGGGAGGCCACCAGGCTGTAACCTGTAGCCACCCTCAACGCGCTAGAGCACCACGGCCCTACTGACGGGCCTCCGCCGACTGCCACTGGAACTGACCGTGGCCACCAGGCCAAAACTGTGCCCATCCCCACCTACGTAAACCATAATGACCTTCCCCTCGTCATCCTCCTCGTCCTCTTCCTCCTCGTCCTTTTCCTCCTCCTCCTCCTCCTTCTCCTCCTCATCATCCTCCTTCTCCTCCTCCTCCTCCTCCTCCTCCCCTCCCCCCCCCTCTCTTCCCCCTGTCCTCCAGGAAAGAGCCCCAGGGAAAAAAAACACGAAAAGGCAAGAATCAAGGCGGGAAGGCCACGAGCGGCGAACATGTCCATATCCGCGATTTCGCGGTGTGCACTCCAGGGCGCGATCCCGCGGAAACGCGGTCGCACGGGTACCTTCCGCGCGGAGCACCCGCGAACAAAACCGCCCCGTATCCGCAAGGTCGCGGCCTAGGGTTAAGTCGGGCATGTCCCCCTTCAGGCGGATTGTTGTCGAAAGTTTGGTTTAAACAGAAATGCGCACAAATAGTGGAGACACGATGGAAACATGGTCCCCAGACTATTGTTTGACTATTGCTGAATATTCCTCATGTAGAAGGATAAGCCCGACTTAAGCTTAGGGGCCCCGCCCGCGAGACCTCGGATACGGATTTGTTCTTTGACAATCGCCCCGGTCCCTGCAGCCACGCGTCAAGGGCTTTCGTACCCCTGAGATCCTGGTGTCGCAGAGTTTTCTCGCGCCAGGTGGTGATCCGCAGCGTTTCGGGCCCCAAGCCCTCGCGGACCGATCTGACTCGAGAAAAGCAGCAGAAAGATGGGGTCTGAGGCCCCACTCGTGAAACGGGGCGATTGACGATTGTTCTGCGACGTCGGATCTCAAGGATCGAAACCGAAGAATGCCTATGTTTCACAGCGTGGTTTATTCCATCTGCTTGCAACGGGGCTTCCATCGCCTCTCGCTGGCTGAGAGCAGGAACTGTAACATAAGCGGGGCAGCGAAAAGACGCGAACTGGCGCAGAGCCCCGCCTCGCCACCGCTACATAGGCAACCGCGTGGTGCCGATGAACGAGACGCCCGCGCCACCAGTTGAACAGTGGGGATAATAATTACGCCCCTTTGGGATCCCATCAGGGGAATGGGAGTGCGCCCCTTGCGTCGTCAGGTGCGGTGCGCGCGGGGATGGCGAGCGCGCGCGCAATTTCAATCGATTTCGCAAAGCTCCAATCACAAAGGGCTGACCCCTGTACAACACCTATCGGAAAGACGCGGTGCCCAAAGCGTATGTTCGGGTGAAGAACCCGTGTTTATGCCATCTTGTTCCTGTCATCGAAAACAATGTATGTGTTCCTCGTGCGTGGTTTCCCGGGATGAGTATGGTCTGCATCGCGCGGAAGCCAGACGCCGCTTGAGCGGCGCTACGACACACTTTCACGTTTTGTTGCATGTCGTGTCGCTTTTCGCGTCGCTCCCGACTAAATTTTTCCGTCGGCGGGTTACGAGGGGGCGACGAAGGCGGGGGCGGGGGCCCTCGGCTGGGTCAGCGGCGCTGCGGTGCGAGGGACAGCGCCGGCGTCGCCTCAACCTGCACGCCGCGGTCATGGCACGCGCGGCCCTGGGAATGCCGGCGCGGGCACGGCCGCGTCGAGTGGGCCTCGGACGTCGCCGCGCGCGCGGGCCCCCCGCGGCACCTGGCAATGGCCTCGCCGACAGGGCGCCTACACTTACGCACGTTCGCCATACATGCAAAACGCTGACATGTAAAACCCATAATTGTTAGGGCTGGGGTCGGTTTCCCACTGTTCAGATCAATGGGTTGGCGCACGCCCAGTCGGGTCATCGAGTACGTCGAGGGACGCCCATGTTCGTTGCGAACACTTTGACTGCTTATTCCTGAGCAGACGGTAGTCGCGAGATGTAACGTTGACGTCTGCCGGTGCACGTTGAGCGCATATGCTTATATTCGCTCGGCGTGTAGCGCAACGTGCATCATACATGAGCCGACCTCGTAAGAAACAATGCTTAGGCGCCCCAGAAATTGGGGCCTCGGGCCTCGGGTAACTCGAGTTCGGATTCCCGAACAACGAACCCGACTTAGCCCTGACCCGAGTTACCCCTAATGATTTGGGGCTCTGGACGCCCGAGTTATCCGGGGCAACTCGGGCACGGGGCAACTCGGGTTCGGATCCCCGAAAAACGAACCAGAGTTAGCCCTGATCCGAGTTGCCTCAGATGATTTGGGGCTCTGACGTCCTGCTTTGAATCAGACTCATCTGCATTATTCCCTCCCTTTCTCCGGCGCATCCTGGCGCAGGGAAAATGCCCGGCGGCAGGGCCGAAACTAGCTGCACGCCTCCTTCCCCTATCTCTTCCTGTCGTCCGACCAGATCCTTTTTTCCTCCCTCCATCCCTTGGTCCCCCTCCTTTCTCGCCAGCACCGATGCCATCGCCAGTTGGCGCAGCGGCGACTGTGCTGGTCTTGGTCGCCAAGAACCCATACATCCGACCGCCCCATCTTCTTCGATGCGCGGGCCCCAGGAGCTCTGGACCACTTCCCCGGGGGCGATTTTTCGTCCTGAATCGTTTTTGGAAACTCGCGAGGCCCCGCGAGGGCCCCCAGAGGCTTTACTGAATCCCGCCGCTCCAGTATTTGGGGGGCGTCGGATTTCTGGGAAGCCCGCCACAAGTTTCAAGAGGCCCCCGAAAACCCAAGCGACCTCCAAGGGCCCTCGGGGTACCCCTAGGCACCCGAAAAGGGCCCGCGCCACGTTCAAAAGGGTTGACCTTCGGCCTCCTCCGTGCCTCTCTTCCTCCCACCACTCCTTCCTTCCCCTCCCTCCTCCTCCATCTACCCCTCCCTCCTCCTCCTCCTCCTCCTCCTCCTCATCCTCCTCCTTCTCCTTCTCCTTCTCCTTCTCCTCCTCGCCCCCCTCCTCCAAAATTACTCAATATGAATACGACTCTCCCTCTTCCCCTGATGACGGCTTGAAAGTATTAGCCCCCCCCGTTTACTGTTTCTTACACGCAAGATTCCCCGGAGTTGGGTTTTCGCCTGCGCTCGCGTCCAAAAATGCTGCTCTCGCTGAGGCGCCGGCCTCATTTTGGGCCCCGCTCGTTCCGAATCGCGTTCCCGCCGCAGCGCTGGCCTCATTTCCGTGCTTCCGCTCGTTCCGGATCGCGCTCCCGCTGCAACGCTGGCCTCATTTCCGCGCTTCCGCTTGTTCCGACTCGTGCTCCCGCTGCAGCGCTGGCGTGATTTCCCGTGCCATGCCACGGCATGCAATGCAACGCTAGGTTGATACTGCGCTACCCTGTAACGCCCCTCAAGGGGGTAGAAACCAACTGGGTGCAGTGTGCTCCGTGGAGCGTCGTGTTGTCTCCTCCTCCACTCGTGCTCTTGCGCCAGACGTCCACCCCTGAGGCTCTCAGAAGTTTCCACAAAGCTCGCAGGCGGTCAGAAAAATGCCCCGAACATCGAAGAGTAAGTTATTCGAGGTTTCGTCTTCGACTCCGTTCCCAGAGCCCCGACGAGGTGTCTGTTCATCGGGTTGGCGCCCTTGTCGTCGTGAAATTACCCTCGGAGGGCCTCTTTGTGACGCTCCCGAGAGAGGGGACTAGGGAGGAGGGAGGAGGAAAGGAGGAGGGAGGAGGGAGCACGGATGGGGAGGAAGCGGATCTCGCGCACGGCGCCATCGGAGCCATGGAGGCTACGGATGAGGGAGGAGGAGGAGGAGGAGGAGGAGGAGGAGGAGGAGGGGGAGGAGGAGGAGGAGGAGGAGGAGGAGGAAGAGGAGGAGGAGGAAGGAGAGGAGGAGGCGGAGAAGGAGGAGGGAGGAGAAGGGAGGGAGGAGGAGGAGGAGGGGCAGCAGTATCAGGAGGAGCAGGAGCAGGAGCAGGAGGAGGAGGCAGGAGGTAGGAGGAGGAGAGGAGGAGGAGGGGAGAAGGAGGAGGAGGGGAGGCAGGGCAGGAGGCAGGAGGCAGGAGGCAGGAGGAGGAGGCAGGAGGCAGGAGCAGGAAGCAGGAGGCAGAGGCAGGAGGCAGGAGGCAGGAGGCAGGAGGAGGAGGCAGGAGGCAGGATGCAGGAGGCAGGAGGCAGGAGGAGGAGGAGGAGGCGGAAGAGGAGGATGAGGGAGGAGGAGGAGGAGGAGGAGGAGGAATGGAGGAGGAGGAGGAGGAGGACGGAGGAGGAGGGGGCGCAGGAGGAGGAGGAGGAGGAGGAGGAGGTGGAGGAGGAACGGAGGAGGAGCAGGAGGAGGAGGAGGAGGAGGAGGAGGAGGAGGAGGAGGAGGGGAGGGGGGGAGGGGGAGGGGGAGGGGGACAAGACAGGTGCGCTCGCGTCATATCTGACATCCTACCCCTCCCTCCCATCCCTTACCATGGCGTAGATCCCCTCTCTACTCGCACAGTCGGATGTCGAGCAGGGCAATGATCCCGAAAGGGTACGCGATGCATTGTAG